GCGACGCGTCGAAAAATTATTCGATTGCAGAGACTTTGGAAATACGCGCATACAAAAGTACATATTATTTAAAAACTTTTTTGTTATTTACTCAAACTTATTTACTTTACCCGTTTCTAAGTTATACCGATTTAAAGTAAACATTTCTTGATTAATAAAAAAATGTGATTAACGCTTATTTTTACAAGTATGCCTTGAATGTTAGTTACTATGGCAACCATTGTTATCGCAGTTGTTTTAAGTGCAATTACAAACGTAAGTTGTTATTGCTGTATCAAAAAATTGTCACATGTTGTCACAAGAAGTATCCAAATTTGTTCGGTTTAAAATAAACTAAGAATTATTATGTGAAAATTGTGCAATTTAGCAATGAGGAAAAAGTAGACATGTTACTGGTGTTTGGAGAATGCAGATGCAATTGTAGAGAAGCAAAAAGAGTTTACGCACGGCGTTATCCGCATAGAAGAGTCCCCGATGAAAAACCTTTTCAAGTTTATGTAAAAACTTAAGAGAATATGGCAGCTTCATAAAACCTAAAAGAGAAAGGAACAGGACGGCTACAAATGATGAAAATACTGCTGCTGTAATTCAGCAGGTTGATAATAACCCCAAGATATAAGTTCTTCGTGGAGAATTCTACATAGAAACTCTTTTCACCCGTACAAAAGTAAACTAGTTCATAAACTAGAACCAGGCGATTATGCTAGAAGAATGTATTTCTTAGCGACATTGTCCGATTTGTATAGCTAAGATGCAAATTTTCTCTCGAAAATTTTATGGAGCGACGAAAGTCGATTTCAAAATAATGGAATCGTTAATAGACACAACTGTCGTTTTTGCTCAGAAAAACCATCCTCGTTGGATTACAGAAAGAGGTAACCAACGTATTTTTAGTATCAAGGTTTGGTGCGGCATATTAAATGGATTCCTTATTGGACCTTACTCTTACGAAGGAACTTTAAATGCAGATCGCTATTTAATATTTCTTCAAACTACACTTCCGGAACTATTAGAAGAAATGCCTCTTGACACTAGAATGAATATGTGGCTACAGCAGGATGGAGCGCCCGCACATAATGCCCAAATAGGAACGAGGTATTTGAACCGAGAATATCCCAATAGATGGTTTGGTACTAATGGACCGGTAAGGTGGTCGGCGAGGTCCCCGAACATTACACCACCAGATTATTTTCTTTGGGGCTACCTAAAAAACGTTATCTATGAAGAACTTATCGAAAATATGACTGATCTCATTAACAAAATTAGTGCAGCGTGTGCCGCTATCACAAGGACTCTCCTACAAGTGACCCAAGCTCATCTGTTAAAAGTTTTTGATAGTTGTGTTCGAGCAGATGGACATAATTTTGAACAAAATTTTTGAAATGTCTTATTATGTAGTTAATTGCAATAATAATTTTGGTTATTAACTTGTAGGTATTTTACTGTTTTTTCATTTATTTATCATGTTATCAGAACTAAATCGATAAAAAATAATAAATAATATCATACTAAAATAGTTGAAATCTATTGTTTGTAATTGCACTTAAAACAACTGCGATAACAATGGTTGCCATAGTAACTAACATTCATGGCATACTTGTAAAAATAAGCGTTAATCACATTTTTTATTAATCAAGAAATGTTTACTTTAAATCGGTATAACTTAGAAACGGGTAAAGTAAATAAGTTTGAGTAAATAACAAAAAAGTTCTTAAATAATATGTACTTTTGTATGCGCGTATTTCCAAAGTCTCTGCAATCGAATAATTTTTCGACGCGTCGCGACGCCCAGCTCTTTGCAGGCATCGAATTTTTTAAACTTTAGGAAATATCTACTTGACCCCACACTTTGACTACTTTTTACATAAATTAAATATTCCTTTTCGTTTTGGAGTTATTGGCGTGCGGAGTTTTAAGTGAAAAACCCTGTATATAAATATAAAAATCTAGGGTACTAAATAGAAAATGTTGACGAAAAAATTACCATCAATCCGAAAACACTCAGCATAGGCCACAAAACAACCCATCACTGGGTGACTGAGTATAAAAGAGAGTATCTACTAATGGATTAATATAAAGGGTGTTCCAAAAACATATTAGTTTGGTTACCGAATATTTGTCAATCACCCTGTATTTTTGATAGTAACTTTAAATTGGTTAAAACTTTTATATTTACCATTTTTTTCTAGAACAAATAATAAATGATGTATATTAACTTGACACACTATTTGGAAACCCTCCATAGGAAAGGCACTGCTTAAAGAAAATTAAAAATCGCATAATATGCTGTTAATATGACATTGACATTGTTACAAAGCATTTGAATGTGTTTTAAACTTCTCTTATCCACTTGTACTCACTTCTGTGATATTACAGTTTATGATTTGTGTTGTGCGGATATCAATATTAAAGGTAAGCATTGTGAACAAGTGTTGTGTAACATTTTCACTTACTGAATTGGTCGACACAAAGCGTGAATCATAGGCAATTGACAAGTTCTGGAACACGCGTTTACGATTAAAAGAGATAATCTTTTTTTATTATTATTATTTTTATTCATGGTCCAGAATGAAAAAATTTCAAGAAGAGCGTTTTTATTAGGAGGTCTATACTATGACTATATTATCCGAAAATCAAGCAGAAATAAATAAAGAAATGCAATATACTTATAAAGCACCAATGCAAATACAGAATATAAAATTTTTGATAATGCCTATAGCACAACATTAAGAAATCAACCTAGCAACATTAAAATTAAAAATATACTAACTTCTAACTAGGTCAGATTAAGTACACTCACACACCTATATCAGATGAATTTAGATCATGTAAGGAATTAAAAAATAGGTTTTCTGAAAAAACTCCGCTTGAAATATTTTTTATGTTTTTTAATGACGAAGTGATTGATTTGATTTTAAAATTGTCAGTAAAATATGCTCAAAACAATAACCGCCATCAATTCTCGTTGTCAAAAAATCAACTTTTGTAGGCATTTTATTGTTCTCGGGTTATCATTCATTGCCACATATTTAGCATTATTGGTCTACCGATGAAGACAAAAGAATTGATCTTATAAAAAAACGTATGAGCCGCAATAGAGTCCAATTGATAAAGCAAAACTTGCACTTACCTGACTATAGTCTGTTAGATAAAAATGATAAATTAGACCCTTCTTGATGGCATATTTTCGTTCAACTTATAAATAGAAATGGTACCTCACTTTGGCCGCCATTCCTGGAAAATGTTTATAAGGGGTAAGCCAGTTCGTTTCGGCTTCAAGCATTGGTGCCTTGGTTCATCTGATTGGTACCCATTTTATTCACTTCCATATGGTGGTGCTCAAAATAAACCTCCTTGGTCTTGGCGGTGACGTTGTTATGAGTCTACTTTCCATTGTAGATAAGCCAGTAAATCATCAAAATTTTTTTTTCATCATTGAAACTATTTGTACATTTAAAAACTAATGGTTATTTTGCCACCGGTACTTTCTCGGAAAATAGAACAAACAGAAAAAGACCACCGATCCTATGTTTCCGCATATGAATAGGAATCAGAAATTTATATTGTCCGTTGGCACGACAATTCAGTTGCAACTGTGGCAAGTAATGTTTCCAGTGTAGATCCTGTCCAAAATGTAAAACGCTATAATAGAAAAGAACGGAAAGATGTAAATATACCCCAACCTTATGTAACTGTCCAATACAATAGATATATGGGTGGGGTAGATTTACATGACAACGGAACTGCTAATTACAGGTGCCAGGTATTTGGAAAAAATGGTGGTGGCCTTTATTTTGTAACTCACTGGATAGTTTAGTAGTGAATGCATGGAAATTTTATAGAAAAAAATAGATTTTAAATCTTACATTGCTTTGCGACTTTTAAAAACTGATAAAACAATTACTCAAAGAAATCTTGCACCTGCCATATTTGAAGTGCGTTATGATAATCATGATTGTTCATACTAATAAAGCCCGAAGGAGATGTAGAATCTGTCACAGTCACACAATTTAGGTTTGTAATAAGTGTAATGTGCATTTACATACTTCATGCTTTATAAAATATCACCACAAATAAAACCGGGTGTTACCAGTGGTGCGCTCACGCACCATAAAATATTATGCTTTTTTTTTGTATCAAATCAAGTTCTATTTGGAAAACAATCTACTTTTAGTTGTTTTCTGTCGAATTTGAACTTTCTTTTGTATATATGTTAATGTTAATTTATTTAATGTTTTTTTCCAGGGGTTCGTTTATGCACCAGTATTTTTTTGTATGTTTCGAATTTTTATCTAATTTTTTTGAAACATGTAATGTATTCTTAAGTGCAACAAAATAAATAATTTCAGAGCAAAAAAAGTATTTTTTTATGCTTAGGATAATATGGGTTAAAATGCCTCCCTTTGCGTTGGTTGGAATGCGAGTACGGCAACGCAGAGTTTCTTGTGCTGTTATCAGCCTAACTAGTGACACTGAGTAAGCACCTTCGCCGACTAAATGGTTGTTATCCGACTGACGAAAGTTTTATGAAATGAAAGCGTCTATTAAGCTTGGCGATTTTTTATTTCCACATCCCCCCACTTTGTCATCATTTTGCCGATTTAGCCAATTAAAAGCTCTCGCCGTTGCAGAAGCCTTTAAAAATTAAATTAATGACTGCATTTAGGGACGGTATATACAGCGGGAACCATTCGAATTCGAAGCAAATAGTTGTAAATATGGTTGCAACATTTATCAGTAACAACTTGCCATTTAAGATAAAAAACATATTGAAGATGACGCCAAGTTACCTCGGCCAATGAAAATAAAGAACGTTTCAAAAAACACTTGCTCCGCCGCGATAATAGTACCGATAATAGTACCGAATCCACTAGAAATTTGGAAAATTCCCGAATCGTCCGACTCGGATACCGCAAAATTGGTTCTTCGTTTACCGTTAATTGCACCGACGAGGCAATGACCCCAAATTAAAGCAAAAAAAAGTTGCGCCGCGGACTTACCTCGAGTCGAACTTGGTACCGTCCGCCAAAGTGCCGGTATAGTGCATCGTGAGCATGTCACCGTTTTTCGATTTGATTTCGCACACCTCCGGCTTGAACAGGGTGTCGATTTTCAGTTTCTCCTCTTCGCCGCATCCGCCCAAATTCGCGACCACCGCCAGCACGAAGAAAACGATCACGCGATGCATGTTGACGATACGCTATTACACGTCGCACGACAAACCCGGTTTGCACGAAAAAGAGGATCGGGGCGACACCGCTAGCGTGCCACGTTATCCGTCCGGTGACGTAGCGTCGATCGTCCTCGTCTACGCGCGCGCATCAGACGAAGACGGCGAGGGGCGAAAGCCACAGGTACGCCGCTCATTGGTCGAGGTCTCCATGTGACTGCGTGAAAACAAAAGTAGGTTGACACGCTGCGATTACCGTTATTATTGGGATTGTGTTTTCGCTTGCGGGTGCGAATTCGATTTGTTTGCGTAGTACCGAGATTGGTTTGGAAAAAAACGGTTCGCATCTCGAACGACAGCCTTCGTCGGCAAAATGCTCGCGTCGCATTGTTATCGTTTAGAGGTTGAGAAAAATAACCAACGCAAGCGTAAAACGCATATAAATTATTACGGTTATGGGCATATCTAGACCGCTCGCGACCCAGGGCTGTACCACCCGAAAAACCGATTTTAGCATCCATGGTGATTTTTAAAATTGGCCATATCGGTTATCAGTCAAAATTCTAACCTAAAAGGCATATTATCGCTTAATAATATAAAAAATGGAAAATGAAATTTACACTTGTTTATAGCGTTGTACAGGAAGGTTGTTGTGATAGCGCTGAAATTACATTGTTCATTTGGCAAATAAATTTATAAGCAGTCCATAGAAAAACATTCGTTCAGCGTTGCATTGTCGGTTATTGCTGTCATTTTAACACTTTAGTTAAGTAATTAATCAAATTAAAAGAAGAAATTATGCACAGCAAATTTGCTAGTTTGCACTGTATATGCAGTTTTTCTTAAAATTAGAATCCGTAACAAAGAATAAAAGCAATACCAACTTATTATTATTAATAGGACCTTTAACCTAAATTGCGATGATTTGCCCAGTAAAGCCTCTGATCCGCGGAGCAAATGTTTTGGTGAAAAATCGCTTAATAATCTAGGACTATATAACCACGTTTTAAATACTAGAAATATTTGTTATTTCTGGTTCTTTAAAGACCGTTAGTTTTTGAGGATCGCCATTATTTGCCGCAAATATTTTTTTTGTTTATGAAGTTTTTACAAATGTAAGCAAAACTTAATAATAGTAAAGATTGCCCGACGTGGATACCTTGACTGACGAAGAGGATATGAACGATGACATAAATCTACAAGAGTTTATACACCTGAATGAGACTCATCAGATAGTGAAACCCTGGAATTCAAAACAAGACGTACGCTTTCTGCAAACCACAGGCTTGCTTCTACTTTCAAATGGAGGAAAAGTCAGATTGAGTACACTCACACACCTATATCCGATGAATTTAGATCATGTGAGGAACTAAAAAATAGGCTTTCTGGAAAAACTCCGCTTGAAATATATTTTATGTTTTTTGATAACGAAGTTTGATTTGCGACTTTTAAAAACTGATGTAACAATTACTCAAAGAAATCATGCACCTGCCATAGAATGAAGTGCGTTATGATAATCAAGGTCACCTCCTCATGATTGTTCATGCTAATAAAGTCCGAAGAAGATGCTTTGTAAAATATCACCAAAAATGAAACCGGATGTTACCAGTGGCGCGCTCACGCGCCATAAAATATAATGAGTTTTTTTTTCTATCAAATCAGGTTCTATTTGTGAAAAATTTACTTTTAGTTGTTTTTGGTCGAATTTGAACATATATGTATAAATTATATGTTATATGTTATGTGCCCCAAAACATTATTTAATGTTTTTTCCCAGTGGTTCGTTTACGCACCAGTATTTTTTTGTACGTTTCGAGTTTTTTTGACACAAAATAAATAATTTCAGACTAAAAAAATATATATTTTTTTTTATGGGTTAAAAACGACAGCTTTAAAGCAAAATGCGGCCCTGGTTCAACCATTGAATCGTTAACATTGGACGTGCCGAATGAAACATCGGATGGATTAGGAAACAGCTCGGCGATTGGCGACAATGGCCATCGTAGAAGGCAATCTCGGCCTACACCGGCGGCATTGCCCGTCTTAATGCTCGCGCGTTGCCGTTGAATCATGAAAAGGCGTCGAGGAAAACGAAAGTTTCGCACGACAGTGTCCAGGTACGGCCAGTATCGGTTACGTTTACACTTTCCTTCGGCGATTTCTCGCGCGTTTCGAGAAAGAAGACCGCCCCCACCGAGCACTTTCTCTTCGTGGCACACGAAGACGACCTCAGGAACCCGACGGTACGTAAATTCGATGTTGTACCGGGCGTCCCAAGTAAAATATCGTGCGTCATACGGTGCAGGCGCAGAGATTGTAAACCGTGCGCCAAATAAAACCCCACCATACGATCTGGAAACCTGGAAACCCGTAGGAGATACGAAAAAAAGTTTCGTACACAAGTTTCTTGGACTCGCCTCAAGATTTAAAATATTATTATTTTGTTGATACGGGGTGTTGATAAGGTAAGTTTGTAAATTATCTTATATTAAAATTTTACTCACTTTTTGAGGTTTAAAATCACACCCGTATTCTTGTTGAATTTGAAGTTGCCATTTGATAACTTATCGATGCCAGATGAGCATTTTAATTAAACTTTATGGACCGAATTAACGAACTCTTTAGTACACTTTTTGTTTTCTGGATTTATTTATTCAAATATGTTACCTTGTTTAATTAACTTTATTTGTTTATTTTTGTTATAAGGTACTAGCAGAAATTACCCTGCTGACGACATTTTGAATGCTGACGAAACTGGTATTTTTAAAGGCAAATGGTCTCTTGTATCAGTGTGTGCCAGTATAAGTTCGTATATCAGATTTACTATCGCATTCTTTGAGTAGCCTCAAATGTTCGATTAGAGTTGGATGATTTGGCGATGTGAAGTGAATTTTAATTTTACGTACGTTTAATAAGGCCTTTCATTCATCATTTTAAAATTCAGTTTAGGAATTCGGTTAAAGTGTACACACTTTAACAGATTAAAGAATAGTAAATTATAGAGTTGATTTTTTTCAAAATTTCCACGTATAACCGACACCCTGTATTGTATTATATCTTGAAAAGAAGTAGTATCATGTCTGTGCTATTTAAAAAATACCTAACATTGCCAACAAGTGAACTAATCTTGGCAGCTTTAAATTCAACAAGAATTTATTCAGGCGTTATCCCACACCTCGAATATCTCACAAAGTAAGTAAAATTTGAATATAAGATAAATCCCAAACTTACCTTACTTTTTGTCGTAGAATTGATGTCTGAATAAAAATATGGCGTGTTCCATTTGAAAATCTTGAGATTTTGTTAATTGAATTCGCCATAACGGCACCACCTATTTGGGACACCCTGTATAAGCTGAGGCGTACCTGTCAAACTGATTGAGTAGTGCATCATCTCCCTAGTCAGTGCTTCAATTTTCGTTGCAATCGGGGGCAATCAAAATATGAAGAAAAAAAAACACATTACCTCAATTTCTGTCTAAACTATGCAAAATTCGAATGGGAATTTCTTAAGAAACTCACCTTTATTTTAACCAAATATTCAAAAAATATCGAAATCTATAGGGTGTTCCATTTAAAATTACAAAATTGATGTCGGTGGGGACATTTTTGGGACACCCTGTATCAACAAAATTTTAATAATTTAAATCTTCGGAGAGAGTGGATCGTTTGATTTGGCACACGGGGTAGCTACTGTACTTTTTATTTTTGACATTTAATCAATAATTTTTTGATAGAAATTGATTCAACCACCTCACCACGTTAGTGAAAACCCATAAGCCTTTATTTTGTATTTGTATTATTTTCAGCAAAGTATATGCAGCCGTTTCGCATTTTTCCGCGTTTAACGGTAATAAATGATATACCCTTCGGGTTTTATGTTTAATTAATAAGATATAACTGGTGCTAAAGAAACGTTGCAGCCACTTGCCATTTTGAACATTATTCTCAATTATCGTGGCGGTTAATTAAACCCAAAATCTGAAGGTTTGCGTCGGCCAAAGCAAAGCGTTTAATTGGCGATATTTATAACGAAAATGAAGCCAAATAAAAATAGGAAATACTGGTATTATGTATATAAATAGACAGCCTTATAAGCGTCGATTAACGTATTAATATTTATTATAATCCCATACCGTTAAAGACGTTTTTTTTTTCTACAAAAAACTTGCAACTAATGTCAGTTGTTTCATTAGATACGCAACAACATCAGAGAACTTGTAATGACGATCATTTTCCGCCTCACAGAAGAACCAATAACCTCCAAGTATCTCGATTGTGCTCAACAAATGTTTAGCCAGTTTAGCAGTTTTAATGTGTATCATGTGATGTGACCATTTCAAACGATAGCCATATGAGTATGTAAAATCGTATTCGTTCCTTTCATCTTAATAGTAACTGCTATGAAAGAAGACTGTGATTACATTGGTGCTTTCATAATGGGCGTCTGGTCGTTTGATCTTTAACGTGTGTTTCACGAGACGAAAAAGAAGAAAAATGTAATTTTCTCACATGGACGTAACCTACGATGCATAATCAACCGCCTTTAATTTTTTTTTCTTTCTTTTCTTTTACCGGTAATATGAAACGAACTCGTTGGATAATGGAGAAACAAATAAAGTTTAAGGGAAATAGAAGAATATTTGTGGAAAACAAGACGCGAGCCCATATACAACTAACTGACTTCTTTAATAGTTCCCCTTGCTGCAGGTTAATAAAAATTGGGAATAACGAAGGTCTAAAAAGTAATGAAATGGCCATTTTTGCAAATGAACATAAATTTTGTGTCTTTGGGTGTATTTCAGCTATTACATTTCTGGTATCCTCAGTGTTCAGACAAAATAACTTAAACTCATTTTTATATTTATTTATATTTCAATCTTCTCCATTTTCCAAATTGATCTCCTTACTGATTTTCCACACTTTCTAAAGCATACGAAAAGTTTACATAAAAGAAACATCCAAAAATTTAATGCAGTTTCTTAGCAACCGTTGAATCTTTTAAGTTGACACTAACCGTCATTGCTTTGTAGAATAGGGACACATATGATTGGCTGCAAACTGCATCATTTACAAGGGCTCTGTAACTTTTTTATTTAACGTGTGAAGAAAACGTCAAATACAAATAGTAAGCTATTTGCAAGATATGTTTTTTATTTACAGGGTGTTACAGAAATCATCCACAGATATACCCTATATCTACATGTACCTAAATAGAATAATATTCTAGAATTTATAATTTTTATCTTAGATGACTGTAAAGTAGATAGTCACCAAAAATCAAGATGTTTTTTTACAAATGTCAGCGACAGTTATCAGTTACAGATTTAGCAAAACTTTATGATACAAAATGTCTTATTTTTGTACGTATAAAAAAATACCTTGCAAATAGTTTACTATTTTTTGAACAATTTTTGTATTTTGTATTTGACGTTTTTTGTCCAAATGTTAAATAAAGAAATTAAAGGGGGGTGGGGGGGGGCGTTATAAATGATCACCCGGTACAGTTATTTAAAAAGAAGCTTTCAGGATCAAAGGATTACTTAATCAACAAAAAACTTCATTCAGCCTTGGCTAATTTTGTATTATCGCGCGATAAGATAGGTCGTCATCGAACTGATTAAATTTGCCACAATATCGCATACAGTTCGAAAAAAAAATTGTGCGTTGTACCATGGAGACGGCCAGCAGTGGTGATTTGCGTGGTCCTTTTTCGAGGTTAGTGAACCGACCTGCTCCATAAAGGTCAAGGGCAAGTTAGACCACACTTTTCAATCTATTGCGCAGCCTCACTTTGACGGCCATTTTTATTTCGTTTTGTCAAATCGCTAATCGAGTCGGCGTGTTACTTTTCTGCAATGACGTCACGCTCGTTTTTAATAACGTATTTTTATATTTATACCAAAGAATTTATCGCTAAATAGAAAGCTAATCTTTATTAGTATAAACTAGGTAGCTACTTTTTATTAAAATACGCTTTTTATGTTTAATATATAAACTTTAAAGAAAAATTAAAGAGCTGCTCACTGTCTTCAAAATCTGAACTAAATTGTAAGATGTCTTTATTTATATTGTCTTCTATGCTTTCGGCTATTTCGAAATGTAATGAAATAGAACGTAATAAATTGTTATTTTGAACTAATTTTTTTATGGAATTGTCTCAAGAATTGTTCGTCGAAAAAGATTGAAAACACTTATATGCCGCTTGTTAGTGTGGGCGGATAAATTCGTAGGACGGTCCTGGAATGGTTAGGGGTAAAGGTCTACTCCGCAGGGTATTCTATAAGGGGCTGCGGGTTTGGAGTAATAGAGAGTAGGCAAAGTTAATCAAGGGGTTGGTTGTAAAAGCACTATATTTCTGGTCTAAGTACAGCAATTGATTGTTTGTTGCTTACCCTTTGGGTAACAATTGTTATAGGTTTCGTAAAGAGTAAATTGGTGTCAGCAAAGGCCACAAAGTTACCATCTCAACAATCACTATTTGTTGTTCAGAATCAGAAAGAATGATCCATTCTCAAACCCATAATACCTAAGTTTGGATAATATGAGACCGTGGTCGATCGTATCGAATGCCTTGAAGTAATCAGTCAATACAAGAAGGTGGGCTAAATAATTTACGAAACCATTTTTACACAACTGGAATAAGTTTGTTGTTATTAAAGTTCAAATGGATCATTTAGATTTGCTGCTGTTTTGGTTCTGGTCAAGGGAATTCCGATTTCGGTCTTCCAGCTTTGAAGATGCTAGTTTTGTTCCATGCAGATATTTATGGTATTAATAATGTTGGATCAATAAATGGGCTACAGTATTTTAGCGAAGATTCCGTTATTTTATATGCGGCAAAGGCCTAGGAATCCAGATTTCTGTCACCAAAATCACGTCAAATGCGGAAATATCTACTACTAGGGACCTCAAGCCGATAAAATGTGAGCTATATTCATATAAAAAAAAGAATGTAAGTCTTAACGAGCAAGAGCAGACAAAAACAATGTGAGAATAATATTGTTTTAGTTTATGTCTGATCACTATCGTTAAAAAACCTATTTGGATATTAAAATTTGACCGGCAACGTGTCAAAGATTGCCCGTACCCATCTTTAAACTTATGATGTAATGTTGTAGGCTGCTGATCTTTCTATGGTAGCAATGAAACCACTTTTCCCCCCACCACATTTTAAAAGTGGGAGGAGTTGATACTTTATTTGCTGCCCATTCTTAGGTCCTCATGTGGTATCGAAACACACTACAAAAATTTTCTCAGAGTTTTAATCTCGCTTGAAGCACACGCAATTGCGGTAGTCCCTAAACACCTGCGGACATATCCACTCATGATCGTCACCTACGTGTTCGATGAGCTTCTTCGAAGCGACGACGATGGCGACGAATAGGGCCGTCGAAAACGTGACCACTGCGACGGAGAAATACGAACAATTCGGGCGTCGGTCCTTCGACTCCGTGGACCATCCGAAGAAGTCGAGGATATGATCGACCAGCATCGGTCCCCGTTCGTCCCTGAAATGGAATCAGCTCGACAACACCGCACCGAAATGCAGTGTGTCCCGCTTAGGAACTATTGTGCGTTCAGTTTACTTTGGCTGTAACTCTTTTGTTTTTAGATATATCAAGGTAAACAAAAAAATGTTGCTTGCTCCTCGTTTGTTTTATTAACGCTGCAAATATGGCGGAAAACTAATGTTTTTATTTTTTATCTTAAAAACGAAAACAGTTAAATAAGAAAAACAATTTTTATTTTATGTTTGCAAAATTTAATTACAGAAAAATAGTTTAGTTGTATTTCATAGCGATGTTTATCAATTATCTTCTAAACAATTTATTAATAAAAATTTCTGACACTAATAATAAAACAACAAAAAAAACATTTTATTTAAACAATATATCTCAAATAATATAAATTAATTTCTTTAGATATAGCCGAATACAATTGAAAACTCAATATGGTAGTTCCAAAAATAAGCGTCGAGCATAACTGAAGAACTGATTTTGAAGGTTATCTAAAATAAACCGCTTTCAAAATGATAAAGCCATACTATATACCTACCGTGCGTTCAATTTATCTTGATAACATTTTAATTGGCTGTAACTTTTCTGGTTTTGGAGATATCAAGGTAAACAAAAAATAAAATTCGTAGGCAAGTGTTTTTTCCAAGTGACGTATAAAACAAAACACTATCAATGTTCTGACATATAAGCCTACATCATATTTGTTTAAATGGAACACCCTGTATATTAAATATTTAAGTAATGTCTACTGTAAAGTATTTCCAAAGTGTAAGTCTCTCTATTTGCACAGGTCGTACTAGATATTTTTTTTATGTGTATTTTTCCTGCCTAGCGCTGCTACCTTCTTCTTAGGATAAGTGCAGAACCTTAGTTTTTGAGTTTTACTACATTATTTCCAAACTGAGTGGATTGATCACCTTCATATACTTTAGTTAGTGAAAGTTATGATTAAACTGAAAAGTACAAAACTACAAAAAATAAAAGTCAGTTGGGTCGCTATAAGCAGCTACGCAACCACAATAACATCACAATGAAAAAATGAAAAGGAACGATAGCTAGAATCTGTTTTTAATGAGACCGTTAAACTGTAAATAGGTAAGAAATTTAAATTTTATATCTAAAATTACAAATACTAACTAACCAATAAGGATATCGGTCTGGATGTAGTTGTGCAACTGCGCTTTTGAATATCGTTAGATTCAGGTCAGTCGTGCTTTCAAACTCTGTCGTTTTTATCGATAAGGCCAAAATGTTAATAAGAAGTTATCTTAATGATCGAATGCAATCAGTCGAGACAAGTCTAGGTCAATCAACTAGAGATACGGTTAGTTGCGGTGTGCCTCAAGGTTCTATACTGGGGCCTCTATAATTTACAATTTACCCCAGCAATTTTACCAGCAGATTCTGTAGTGTTGTTATTTTAACTATCGTGACATTTCGACACAAATAGAATTGAGAAATATGATCCATCCAGTCTTGCACGAACTAAGGGATGAAAAACAGGCGTAGACTACACACCTTAGTATTTTTCCATAACATTATTTTTAATAACTTCTTAAACGGAAATTAAGACAGGAATTGTTTAGTCAACAAGGCAGGTGATTTTCGGATTTAGTTTCGAAATTTTCTAGCCTATTTTTAAATTTGATTTGTATTATATACCATAGTATATTCGTAAATTTCGTATAATGGAAGTAGTCGTTACGTATCATCTTATAGGGGTTGAACTTTGAACAATTTTTAATAGCTTTCATTTCGTTTTCCTGCAATTTATCTATCTATAATATCTTATTGTATTGTATGTTGAATACAGCAGAATAAATGTATTATTATTATTATTATTATTATTATTATTATTATTATTATTATTCTTGAAATTTTTTGTAATGATTCCCTTCGATGACATAACCAATGAACACATGGTTACTTCATTAAGACACCAGACTTGTTTTAGCTGGAAAGCCAGGTCTTCATTTTTTTAGAACTTTCTCAGCTTCCGTAGATCTCAAACTGTGGGTCAGCGGTATAGCAATATCAATGATGTCTCTGTTTTTTTTTCTGTTTATAGTATAGCAGATAGAGGATCTATTTTCGAGAATTGATTTTGGTTCATATTTGTAAAATGCAAAAGCCCAGTTGCTGATGTATGATTTTTGCTAGTTGATTGTGCCTTCCTAAAGAAACATTATCTGCTAGTACGCTACACCCATTTCTATTGATTCTCCAGTATTGTTACAATTTATGTTTTTCATAATTTCTAGTACTAATGTATTGCGAGCATAACGCACTCAGTTTCAGGATAAAGATAGGCCTTATGAAGCCACTGTAATGATGTTTTGTCGATGAACGTGTCTTCGAGTGTCATAGGGTATTTACCATGAAGTGCGTTTTCCTTCCAAGTTTGTACTTCCTGATGTAGTATTGATGTTGTATCGGTTACTACTGGCATACCTAAGTTGAGTGGTGTAAATTTTTTATCAGCATTTTTTAAAGACTGGATGATTTTAGAGTCCTGGTTTCTGTAGATTTTTCTTATATTTAGAAGCTCCCTGTCACCTTCCTTTCTACGGATATAAAGCCGTGACGTTGATGAGTTGGGGTGTAAACATCTTAATTTTGTTAACATCTGGCGAGTTGTTCTATTTAAGGCTTCCGAGTCAGTATTGGACCATTTAACTATTCCAAAGGAATATGTGAAAATAGGTATCGCCCAACTATTAGGTCCGGCGATGACCTTTTTGCCGGTTAGGTTGGTGTTCAACTCTTTATCATCCTTTTTTTGCATTTTTCAGTGAACTGCTGCTTAAGTCGGGAATGGTCTACTTCCATGTTTTGTGGTATACCAAGATATTTGTACTAAGTCTGCCAGGCCTTCGAAAGATTCGTCTTCTTCACCTGATGGTTCAAGTTTCTCTTTCTTGATTCCTATTGTTGCTCAGTTATCCGATCCAAATTTCATCTTAATATCGTCACCTACTCCTTTGTCAAACGAATTGAAATGGTCGTTTGTGGACGTAGTTATATGCTACTGAAAGTTGCAACTGTTTGGGCTAAGTTTGCGGCTGATTTAACTCCTATATCGGACACATTGGTCATTGATCTTCTGACACCACGTGGTAACTTGTTTAACTAATGTCCATGCATTCATTTAAATAAAGTAGTATTTATTTATTTGTATTTATTTATAATTAAAAAAGTATTTATAAGTATAATGTATTGGTATGTTATATAAACCGTTATACACGATTGTATTCGGTAGTTTTCGATTGATAGTATCCAGTGTCTTGCCATGTGCATTATCCGGTCAACATTATAAAAAATTATTGTTGAACTGTCGCGTTTTTTTGACACAAAGGTTCAGATCAAGAATTCTAAGAAAGGTAAGTTTTAGTTTACACATTTATACACTTACTAACAGTAAATTTCATTTACGACGAAGTGTATTCAAGTATGTTGAAAACCAAGGCATTGATGATTTGGAAAGTTCAGAAGATTCCGATGCCAACGATGATTTACCTCTTGTCATCCTTAGCTGTCGTTGAACATGAAATTTAAAGTCCAAAGTCTCCAGGCAAGTTAGAAAAGACCACTTGCTATCGGTGAATTTACCTAGTAGCAGTTGTTACATTTTATTTTTCTACGTGTTCTTACAAGGGAACTGTTTTAAATAAAAATATCAGCTTGATGCTTTAATTTAAATATTTTTTGCAACGTTTTTGTTTATCGTGGCCTTAATACCCCCAGGGACCTTATCCCAGAATTGTTTGAAAAATTTACTGTGACTTATTTGAATGCGACTTACCATTACCTACCTGTAATATTGCCCGTCAACGAGGCACTCGTACACCCGTAGGAAATGGACGCAGACCCCGCACAGGCCGTCTCTTAAGGGCACGACTAGGTCGTTCAATATTATCTGAGACACTGCGACCGCGTCTTCGCGGTTTTTCGCCGCGAAAAGTGGGTACACGTATGACCCGCACGGTGTGGCGAACGCGAGACACGCGATCACCGGAAAAATGAGAATTTTCATCGCGCGAAAAACATGGAAAAAACTATGACGTTTGGTGACCTTTACGTCATTCTCGACGTATTGGAGGGGAAAACCGTTTTTTCTTTCTCTCGTTTCAGACTGGCCGACAACGTTTACGAGAGGATGAGCGCCAAGACGAGGCAGTACCAAGTCCCGGAGGATTTCGACCCCGCGGATCATCCTCCGGTGAAGATGCGACACGGTAACCACAACGCGTAAGTGCGGACGAGCAGAAAGAAATGAATTATTAAAATCCAACGATCCTCTACAAAAATTGTTGTATACATGTAGGCATGAAATCATGTCAATTTAGTTACCATACCAAAATGATCAGCAACAGTTTAGTTGTTTAGTACATAATTTGAAATGAAATTTGGCCTACAAACAAATAAGTTTCGTATAGGGTGGCCGCCCCTTCAAAGTTGTATCTATTATTTATTTATAAAAGTAGATGAGCAACATGCTAAATTTTTTACTGTAGCTTGCTAATAATTTCGATAAACAAATGATCTCATTGTCCTACAATTAAACTGGTAGGATTTTTCAGTCCTACAATTTAAAGTTGTTGACCTCACGATCTAACCTATAAATTTAGTTGAGCGTTTAATTTTTTTTTGTTCTTAAAATATTCCTACAGCCATTATCTATCATGCTGTTTTATACAAATGAGTTTAATTAAGTTTCATTATTATTTATAATTTAATAAATCAACATTTCTTTTTTTTGGGAGCAGTAAATAAAATTGATAATTTTTATTTTTTTCAATGGCTTATTCACTGGCTTATTCAATGGCTTATTCATCGTTTTCTCCAATGCTAACATCATCCTCGTCATCTTCATCACTTTCGACGGTATCCATTACGTCACTCACATAGTCGAATTCTGTAATCAAATTATTAAGAAATTAGTTAATTGCCGAATAATTGACGGGATTTTTTTTGACTTATTGGTTACCTGGATGTGTAGCAGAAATTTTAAATGGCACAACCTATATTTTTTGCATGTTTGTATTCAAGAGATCCATTCTACGTAGGATAGAATGGGTTTTCTCTTTTTTTTTTAATTTTTATTTAATTTTTGAATATTGTGTCTAGGAGGCTACGACCGTCATAAATACTATTTACCGGGTTACCTGATCATGGGAAAAAATATAAATAAATTTACTTGTCTAATGGCAAAGAGTATTTAATGTTATGAACTATTAATTTTTTAGGATAACCTAGTTTTTCAAATAGTACCCTGGTTGGGATAATTTTTTTTAAATCCGGTGTTTTTTTTGCAACATTTTGACACAAAAATTTTCAAAATCGGCTAAAAAAAAAGCTCACAGGAAGAAAAAAAACTATAAGTGAATACATTTTTATAAAAACAAAATATTACTTAGGTGGCTTTGCCTCTATTCATCATCAAGTGGGCATGATTGAAAATTCTGACAGTTTGTACATTGTTATCTGATTATCGATTTTGTCGTGTTATTGATTTGGATTATCATGGAATACAATAATCAATTTACATATACGGGAAATGCAGAAAAAACTCCCTACAGGCCCGTGCAATTTGGTGTCAAAAGACTTGTTTTAGGCAAAAAAAAAAACGAAAAGGCTGATTTTTCTTAAAAACTACTCAAAAATTTCGTATGTTATGTAATGATTAGAGTTTTAAAAAATATTCATACCATTTCAATTGCGATAAGGTACCGTGCGTTCAATTTTAATTTTAATTTTAATCGGCTCTAACTTTTGTTTTTAGAGAAATCAAGGTAAACAAAAAAAAAACAAAATGTAAGGTTAGTAGCCGAGTTTTTTTTCAAGTGTCGTATAAAATAATACACTATCAATTTTCTGGCATACGTTAGATATGTTTTTATTTTATATTTATTTATTATTATATTTTAGCTCACTCGTTTTTGACAAAGAGTGCCCCGGCTGACAAATAAAAATATGTTTATGTTTGACATGTTAGTAAACAACGTTGATAGTTGAATTATTGTCCCAGTCATTATTGTTAAAATGGTTTTTCGCGAATATAACATCCGTGAAAGGAGTGATTTGCTTCAAGTATACTTTCTGTATAATAAAAGTGCAACCGCAGCTCGTCGTCGGTATAAGTTAACTGGAGATCATTATTTACAACTCTTAGAGCACCAAATAAAACAATATATAGAAGATTTACCCCTAAATATATCAGCGCTGATTATATGGCAGCAAATGTGTTCAAGAAAATGGTGGTCACCTATGTCAGAACATTGATAGTGTTTTATTTTATACGTCACTGGCTACTAACCCTACCTTTTGTTTTTTGTTTACATTAATATCTCCAAAAACAAAAAAGTTAATATCAATTAAAATGTTATCAAGATAACATTTTAATTTCCACATAACCTGACACGACATAGTTAAGCAAAAAAAAAAAACGCCAATTTTTGCAGTATTTTGAGTTTTTTTTTGCACTCCGTCCGCTAGGCGTCGTTTTAGTTCCGCATGGTTTAACCCGAGAGCGTAACAGTATTTTGATTTCAGAGACCAAAGCGAAACGCAAAGGAAAAGAAGATCCAAAAACAGACTGTCGAACCGTCGAAGCACGGGTTACGTGTCGCCAGAGCTGGTTGAAGAGGCCCTTCATATGGGCCCCTCGCATAGCAATTGAAACCAAACGGAAGCGAAAACCGTAGGCGCATTTTTACCGCAAAGCCAAAGCTAGAAATGGGAGAAAACATTATATTTGTAATTATAAATGAAAATATATAACTATTTATGTATTACGTAGACTCATATGTATAATATAGACTCATAAAATCTAGGATTTTAATTTGCGACCTTACTTTTTCGTCCTAAAAAAAGGCACAAAGATATGGGAAAAAAGGAAAATATCACACTCATTTAGTAAAACCAAATATAATGTCCAATGCAATGTGGCATGATATTATAAATGGGCGTCACAGAAATTAAAAAAAAAAAATAAGTAGATCGTCCAAAACAAAATTATATACATTAGATATTGTAAGTTTTATTCATCAGCCTCATCGGCTTAACCGCTTGCTGTTGTAAATAAATAAATAAATAAAATTTCCCGAAAACGGCGATCAAAGAAGTATCAATCACTCCAATTATTTAAAAAAATCAAAAATGAAATTGCAACTTTGACTTAAAACGATCTCCTATTTTGCCATGTAACATTACTTATGACACACCCTGTATAATTTGGGATGAAATAAAAAAAAGGCAGATTAATGTATAATCCGCATATTGTAAGTAGAGGAAATTGTCGGTTATTATATTCTATTATAAATTTTAGTTCAGAAAATATTAGAAGCAAAATTATGAACCCCCTTGCGAAAAACATATAGTAATTGACATTTTTCGCCAGCATTTTCTTCCATTCCATTCCATTGATGGAATGGCCCGAATACGGTCCCTATTTAAATCCCATACAGCATCAATGGGCAGCTCTGAAAAGAAAGGTTCGAAGTCGCTATCCCGTAGGCAGTTATTGCGGAGAATATTTTCCAGATACAATGAAAAATGTAATTTCTAGTATAGTGATGGGAACTTTATAATATACATTAATGTCATTGTTTTTGATTTCATGTTTCACGGTTTCACTCGTTAAAAAAAAAATTGCAATGTTGTTTTGTTTTCATTTATCAAAGCGAGCAGAAATTCGATAGCCCATACCTGAAATCCTTTAACAATGAATGCATTGAATCATTAGAAGAAGAAAATGTTGGCGAAAGATTGAGTTACATTCAAATGTCAACTGATACACGTTTCGGTTGGTAGCATACTCCATAGGGCGATAAGAAATATTTTATTACACCCTGTATAAATCGGCATTGTCATTTAAATCGGATGATGAATTCAGAAAAAAAAATTGCAACGTAAAAAAGGTGGCAAATTCATATTGGTTTCGTTAATTTTATGCAGGAGTTTTTTTAAAATTTATATTCTGTTACAGTACAATAATTTTCGTACTCAGATTCAAATAAAAACGAAAATAAATAAAACTTGGTTTTCCCCTTTTTTTTTTCTGTAAATTTGCTATTTTCGCACGTGAGACATGCACTGCGCACCACAGAGTACCGACGCCGCACCTACAAGGAAATTACCCAACTGGCGGAAATCGGCGTACAATCCTTGCAATAATAATATCACAAATAAACAATCACACTAAAAGGTCGGTCACTCGCTACTAATCTGGTGCGCTGTTAGCGTCTGTTCCGCGAGATTCAAGTTTAATCTTCCGTCATGACCGAACCGCTCTCAGCCAGGCAATTGCTTACCGAAATATACGGGTAAGTCGTATATGACTCAAAAACTGAACGGAAACTCATCTCAGAATCTGTTAAAAATAACTGAAATTGGCTAGGTTCATATAACAATGACTTATGAGATATCGATAGACCTCTAAACTTCACTTTTGACCTAAAATTTGGAATGTCAAAAACAGTAAGACTTAGGTACAGGTTATGGTATGTAAAACACGTTTATGAATTCCAAAAAAGTTGCATAGAAACAACTTGTGTTGTTGGGCTTTTTTGATCATTTTTACAGGTTCTGAGATCACCACATCATACACTTTTTCAAGCATTGAAGACGGTTAAAACACACACAGAGCTGTGATTTATTTTTTCTGGAAAAACACATATATACCCCGTGATCTAAATTAGGTTTTCATCATTGGTAACTTTGCTATGAGTAGAGATGCAAAGTCGTTTAAATTAGCAAACTAATAGCATTTTTTCGACTGATTACGATGGTGAAAACAGAAAAACAATTGAATGTAGGCTTTAGAACAAAAAAGGAGGGAAATGTAATCTTTTTAAACGGAATGCCCTGTATACTAACCAATATTAACGTTCAGAACAACAAATGTTATATGCAATATGAACCTACAATTGAAAATAACCGAATTATCAGCACATTTTTCATATAGACAGGTGGCTATAAGTGGTTGCGAAATAAAACTTCATTTTGCTTTTATAATTTTATTTATAAATAGCAATAATAACAATACCAATTTTTACGACTTCATTACTTAAATTAATTTTACGGCGCCACTTATTCAAAAATGGTTTTTGTAGAATTAAACCTTTGAGAAAGAATAAACTTTTTCAATAAAAGGACACAACTAATTTTAGAACAAAACAACACTGCGATGGCAGATACGAGCGGATCGTAAACCACCTAAATTCGTACGGGAAAACACCGCATTTCAAATACCTCGACGGGTACTTGAATATGGCTTTCGCGGACACCGACGGGTAAGTCGTCCTCCAAAAACCAGCACGCCGGTGCACCACGATAACCCAAACATTGGCGCTCATCCTAACGTTAACCAAAACTAACCAATCTGCTTATCTATGGTAAAAAGCTGCGAGAAATCGAACTAAACTTGCCGTTTCGCTAAGTATGCGTAAGTATGTTTTACGCGGCAATAAACTTCGCGAAACGCTCCCTCGAGGGTCGTTGCAGCTTCGCGAAAGTCAAATTCCCACAACTTTTGCAGGCAAATCTTGAACCCGAATTCCAAGCTCCCCATAAATAATTCGTCTCACGGAAACTCTGATCGAGAATCTTTATCGGGTATCCGTTCGAAAAATATGTTCGCTTAATAATATCGCTAAAGTTGAAGAGTTCCTGGAAACTGGGCTAAAGTCGCAAATAGAAATTTGGATTTGAGGGCTTCTGTGGATATAAATTTATTTACAAAAGTAAAATAATTGGCCCATTAGCTCAGTTGGTTAGAGCGTCGTGCTAATAACGCGAAGGTCGCGGGTTCGATCCCCTCATGGGCCATGATATTTTTTTTTCGTATTTTAGACTAAGACTAAGATTGCGCGTTTCTTTTATAAAAGATATACCCTCAAATTATGTATTTTTGGGCTTTGCAAATTGTTTTGACGACAGAATAATTTTTCATTAAAAATGCAAATGTTTTGGGGCTGGGTTTCTGTATTTCGCTTCGATTTCGCGATGAAAAATTACAACGGAAGAGCAAAAACTCCTTTCCAACGCCGCACACACTTATATAATCTTTATAAAAGATTTAAGAAAAAAAATAATTCTGCATATTGTTTTGTGCATTAAAACACTCGTATTAAAAGAACGCCCTGTATAAATCTTTTCCGATTTGGCATGCGAATATTGTGGTATAACAGTAAAGAAATTGTCATTAAAACTCGTTAGGTATGTGCTTGAAATAAATTAAATTTATAATATGCAATATTTTTTTTACTTATCCGCGCCATCTACCAGCGACGACGAGAAATAAAACAGAAATCTTTGCCGGTTTGCACGAAGAGGAACTCAGATGTCGCCACAGCGCTGGAATCGATGCTTCCAACCCGACGTTTCGCAGGGGCGTGCCGTTAGATTAACTGAGAGCTGGCGTTTGTGCCTTTTTAAAAACCATTTTTGTCATTTTCCAAGCAAACCTCTCGTCCGCGTTTACCAGATAGTGTTTCTATTGTCCGGCAAACGAAAAAGCGCCGCAATGGTATAAAATTATAAGCCGCAGCCGAGCACCCGCCAATGGAGCCTGACAATCAAAGGAAGCTCGGTCACGTGATCGCCTAGCAACCAATTGTGCCGTCTTCTTTTGCATTACAAGTAATGATATTTTACCAGCGAAAACGTCAGGGAAGTGGTTGCAGTGTGTGTTTTCGTTGAGTGGCGTTTATTCGGCAAGCAGGAGCAAGAAAACTTCAATCGCAATCAGGTAGGAACCGCTGCGATTTAGGCAAGTCGCCCTGCTTTTTGTATGAACACGATTTTTGTTAGATATTTGGGTATTGTCGTGTTTTCTGGGAAGTAGGAAGTCGAGTACGAATCGATACCGGCCCGTATGATGATTTGAATTCGAAACTGTACTCACGGATTCCCAAATTTCACGACAACTGCGGCTGTACTGTTGTGTGGTCAAGTGCACGTATTACCTCAGTCGCGTATGAGTTTTGTAGACGATAATCGAGAGGACGCTTATTTAATTTAAACGGTTTAATCGCACGTGAGACTATTTAAGCAAGATCCGCGGTAATTTGGAGCATTATTTCCCCGAGTTCTGAATTTTTTCGTTGCCGTTATCGATTTTATTTTTGCTTTATGTTCCGTTTTCTGTACTGAAAATATCCGGGGATATTGTTTATTTGACACATGAAAGAGACCAAACGGCAAACTGATATTGATGTCTAATTTCTGTTTAAGGCGGATTATCTTCATCATCTTCATGTCTGTTGTGGAAGCTTTGAATTGCATCTCTAAAAGGTGTAAATGGAAATAAAAAAGTGGGAGGAATCTATTTTCATCTTGTGGTTGATAAAACAACTCTGCACACGCATTGATCTGAGGAATCTTGGGGGAGACCAATCGATACAATGATTATGGTAGATCCTATGCAATTGGGAAAACCCACAATTTAAGTGTAACCGGATTTGTTCAAGCCATTTTCTTTTACTATTTACGAAACTTCTGGATTCCTCCTGTATCGAGTGTTTCGCCAATCTTTCTGTTGGTTTCCTCAGACTTTCAATTCTTTGCACGTGAAAACTCTAAATTGGGAATTTTTATCATGGATCCATGGAAGTGGTTAATGTTCAACGCTTTGACGTATGTATTACACAAGGTGGTCACAAATGACCACCAAAAACGTTTTTCTTATTAAAAAAACTCTTTTTTATGGAATTCTCTCTATTTAGCAAATGAGTTTGGAGTTTAATTTTGTACTATTTCAGCTCTTATTACAAAAATGGATAGTTTAGAATTTATGGTCAATTTTCTGCTGTTTTTCCAAAATATGCTCAAAATTTTGTGTGCAAATGAAAAAAAATGGATTTTTAAAAATATTCATAACATTTCATTTCAAAGAATTAAATTATTTACTCCTATAGCACAACCGAGCACCCTGTATATATAAAAATACTATAAATAAAATATATACTTGGGGTTAAACGCTTTTTGCATTTCACTTTTTTTCCTCAAGGTCGTACTCATTGAGGTTAAGTATGGGACCATCTTAAGCATCTGAATTTTTTATACGCAATTTCATTAATTCCTAAACTAAAATGCTCTCGGAAAACTTTTGTAGATATTGAGCGAAGTTTTTCCGTTTTAGACACAATTTTCTTTTGCGAACTTTTGACAAACATTTAGTTATCAATGTTTTCATGGCTGTGCACAGAATAATAATTGTATTATATTATACAAAAAGCTTCTATATATTTTTTTTTCGTACAAGTAAACAGTTATTGCATTTCCGAAGAACTGTAAAGGATAGTTCGAGCTTTATTTTTTCGGATAGTTCGGCATATTTTTTTATATAATAAAATGCATACTTCAATAATATTTAACATAGTTTTTATAATAGTAACTCTTCCGTTAAATTTTGTTGTTTTAGATAAAAATGAAAACATTATTTTCCCGCCATATTTGTAGCGCGATATCTCCGTAATGGTTGGCTTTTCATCCCACGTATATATATATATCACACTACCCTTTATCTTAAACACCACATTTGCGTTGTGTATACGACCAACTTTGTGTATTATTAATGTTATTTTATTATTATTTATTATATTTTATATTTATATTTATTATATTATTGTTACATAGTTTGCTCGGGGTTACTTTGTACGCCGAATTAAATATGACTGGCTTAATTTCTGACCATCGCCGCCATTATTCAAATATAATAATATGACTAGAGAATTAAAAAAAAAAACCCTTTAAATAAGAGCGTTCTCTTGATTCGACTCGCCTTCGCATTCGCAAAGCTCGTTTGTGCGTTGTTTTGTTTTTGTTTGCCCCTCCTATTCGTTCTCTAATGACCGGAGCATTTTCGATACCTACTATGTGCGTGTCGCGGCCGTCGAGCAGTGCACGCAGACGCGATGCCGGCCGGAAACGCTGGCGGCGGCGGCGGCGGCGACGCATCTTACCGCTCGCTGTTGGTCCGGGAGGCGGGCGATCGCGTATACCGCCCCACCACGGTGGCGGGGGGCGGTTCGATCGCCGCCGCCGGCCTGCTGAACGGCTTTAAGAGGGCCCTCGGACTGACGTCGGCGCCGCTGCTGGAGCATGTGGGCGGTTCTGGAAGGGGCCCAGTCATCGTCTCCAGGTAAACGCATGCTTTCCTTTGTTTCTGGTTTGGTTTGGCTTGTAATCGTTTATGCAAAGATCTTCGATTGCGTACGCCACCTCCCCGGTTATGTTGCGGAAGAATAGAATAAAACAAAACGATGTTATTATCTATTGTTATTTAACAATTGTTAATAACAATGTTTAAACCAATTAGCCATATATTTTACGAAATTTTTGTCTATAATTGAAAAACCTTGTATATAATCGAAAAAAAGCCTGCAATAAGAATAATAGTACTGGATCTACGACGTCTGCTGGTTAACACGTTCGCTGCGAATTGTTAACAGGTTCGTCACCCAGGTGCTGAAATACTTTTCAAGCTTTGTTGACATTCTTTTCTAAAATTCCGCTAATATTTCACTTATGTTTACCTGTCATTTTTGACATGTCGTGCATAGGCGACATTAGCACTGGGAACGGTTTTCCGTTCCTCTATGCGCATGTCGCCAGAGCGAAGGAATAATTGTTCAACTAATATAAAAAGTGTTTTATTATTATACCAACTAAGACATACAAACTATGGAAATATTAGAACATAAAAAACTTAAAATAATAATAAAGAAGGGAAATATACAAATTTATGGCAGATTTCGAGACTTACCTGGACAAGTCTCGCAATGGTAGAGCGATTCTTTTCTAATTTTGTTTTGATGGCACATTTTGCATCTTTTTCTTATTACTCTTCCAGTTGCATTTTTTTCGGTTATTTTATGAGACAAATGTTCTTTGGACGGTTTATTAGATCTAAGAAGAGAAGAATCTGATTCCCGAGGAAGCAATGCTTTTATCCCTTTTAGTCTGAAATCATAGAAATTGGATTTTTTCCCAGAGCAACTTGTTGTATAGAAAATACGAATTTAACAAAGCCATTTGAAAAATATGGAATGCTAATTTTTTGTACCATCTGATGGTTTTGTGTGAACTAGGATAATACGACAGCATCTAATCTTGTCGGTCAACCCCACTCATATACTTATTATATTCTAGTATTGGTAGGGGCTTCATCTTTTCCTCTCCTCTTTTAGTCGTTATTTTTAGCACATTGTTTTCAAACTCTGTTGAGATATGGGACACGTCTCTTTTATCTCTCCATTTCCCTATCATAACTCCATGGGAATATCTGGAAACTGTTTGGCCGTTACTTAGTTTAGTTTTTTTCACTTCTTCTGGAGTGTCTTTTCTGTCCAATCTTAACGTGCCAGTACGGAAAGAATTTGCTTCCATTAATTGGAGAGCTAAACTGAAGCTGTTAGAATAATTGTCCATAAATATGGAATTAATTTTTCTTGGAGCAAGTGGAATACCACCTTATTTGCATGCCCTTTACCTCCCATGTCGTCCAACTGACCAGTGTAAACAAGGATTTTCAGCACCGTACCATTGGGCTCCGTCAACATATATATTTTTATGCAGTACTTATGACGCTTATTTTTTAGATATTGGCGAAATAGCAATCTATTCTTTTTCCAATAATCCTGATATCAGCTCAGGAACAGTGAGATCTTTTCACTGGGAAATACGCGAACCTGGTGTTTTCGCAGTACCAAGGACTTCAACAGCATAGTCGTTCGTTTGTTATACTATTTTACTCAAAATACTCTCATCCAGCAAAAGGAAAAAGTAATCGATCGGCTCACTTCCTGGCACATCAACCAAAAGTTCATTACGTTTCAGAAAGGCGATATTTTTCAAACCAGTCGGTTGATTTTGCCACTGTGGCAACTCGGTCGAATGTGTAACTTGGGTTCATGGCTTCATCTAAAAATACTTATCGTCAACACAAAAATAATAAAAAATATTTAGAGAGACTTACCTTCTCTGTTGACAGTATATTCCGACCTTTCATCTACGCAATGGGAACCGGTATCAGTATAATATTGTAATTTGCTGCTTTTACAACTTAAATTAACGAGACTGCAGTGCTACTGGCTTTAAATTCAATCCAGACGGCGAAAGAACCCCGTAAGTCAAGTCCCTGTATCGATTTTCCTCTTCCGATGGCGATATTTTAACACTGGGCCGAATATAAATTTCAGTTAATTTACGTCAGTCCGTCGCCGTTTTGTTTAATTGCGGTCGAAGCAAAAGCGGGCCTCGTTTAATATTAAGTGCAATTTGGGAGACTCCTACTACTTAATTAAGATCAATTAGGCTTCAATTTTTTTCTGCTTTCTCAAATAGAAATCTTATTTTAAAAAGAAAACGTCATATCGCCTAAACTTTTACGATACAGGATGATAAAGTTTTCGAAAATAAAATATATTTTTTTTAGTACCACTTTAGATATTTTAATTAAATTTGGGACACGTGTACCATGTATCAAGAGACACTGATTTTCCTTAAAATGATTTTTTTTTTGACAATTTCCACTCATTTCTAAAGATATTTAGTTTCAGAATTGGTACCATTTTAATTCCTAGATGAAATTAAGTTCGAATGTACGTACACACGAGAAAATGTCGTCGCCCAGGGCACACGATAAGTATTTTTAAACGCATGTTTAATATTTTCTTGGCTCAGTTTATTTCAACAGGCTCCCAATCCAAATCTGCCTGTTTACCGACGCCTTTGTAAGTCCTTTTCTCTTCTTTGTGTAGGTTTTATTGCGAGTCCAAAGGCGGTAAATTAAAAAAAAAAAAAAACGGTGACTTTTGCTCTGTTTTTGTCGCATCTACTTTATTTATGTGTTTTCGATGTATTTATTTTATTTATTTACTGATGTGTTATTACATATTTATTTTATTTATTCTTTCATGAAACTATTTATTTTAATATTCGGTATATTGTGTTGTTTTTATAATTTGGGTGTCTGATTTAAATGACTATTAAATATAACAAAATTAAATATATGTATATTTTTGAAAAACGCTGAATTTGAAACTTGAAAAAAAAAGTATTTGCATATTCATTTTTTGGCACTAGGTAGTACAGAATTTTTGTTTGTTATTTTTATTTATGGATCGTGCACTTAAACTAATATCACGTTTTTGATTTTTTTTTCAAATAGAATCTTTGAAAGTTATATAGAAAACCATGTATTTTTGAAAAATGCTAAATTTGAAACTTGAAAAGTAAATGTATTTTGCGTATTCATCAATTTTTGACTATTCAAAATTCAGAGAAATCGTTTCGAAAATCGAATTCGATTTTTTGAGAAGTTGCCGCATTTTTGGACATTTTTTTTTTCTTAAAAATCTTTAAATGTGAAATTTCCTTTCAAAATACCGCTCGCGATTAAAACGGTATTTTCTAATTATTTATTATTGCTAGTATTATTATTAACGATTCGCACATATATCACAGAATTTATATTTCAAAATATAATTAAAATGCTTATCTTGGCCTAGATAGCATAGAATTTTTGCTTGTTATTTTTATTAATTAAATTAATTAATATTAAGCTAAATTAAACTAATATCATGTTTCTAATTTTTTAAAATTAACATCTTTGGATATTATATTCAAAAAACATTTTTGAAAAACGTTGAATTTGAAGCTTGAAATAAAAAGTAGTTTTTTTGACATTTTCTTTTATTTACAAAACGATTCACACATATAGCAGGAAATTTTAATTTCAAAATATAATTAAAATGAACAAAAAATATTTAATACACATTGTTTAGCGAATTATTTTTCTATGAGTTTTTTTTCTGTGTGTCTATCTAAACTTGGTACTTAATAGTATATAATTTTTGCTAATTATATTTACTTATGGATCTAGCACTTAAACTGATATCACATTTTTAATGTTTTTTTAAAATAAAATCTTGGAAAATTAAATACAAAAACATATATTGTTGAAAAATACGCTGAATTTGAAACTTGAAAAATAAATACATTTGGCGTATTCATTATTTTTTGGCTATTCAAAATTCAAAAAAATTTTTTTTTTGAAAAGTTGCCGTATTTTTTTTACTTTGATTTTACTACTAAATATTTTTAAATGTGAAATTTAATTTCAAAATACCACTCTTGCCTAATTATTATTATTATTACTGTTATCCACTATTATTATTATGAGTGAAATCTCGATGCATCTTGTTCCACGGAAACGTATTTTTCTTCAAACCCGTGTTGCGCTCGTCATAATTTTAGCGAATTTAAGCACTTGGCACGGGCCAAGTTTCCCTGTTTTCTTCAAAAATTTGTTTACAGCAAAGCACGCGACTTCCAGGATTGTTTACCGTCCGATGTTTATTTTCGTTCAAGTGGTTATAGATTTGATTTTTTTCGCCGCGGCGGTTACTGTTGCGTTTTTATTTTACTCGTCATCAACGTAGGGAGTTTTATATTTAAGCCCGTTTAAACGAGTCCCCGTGGCGGCCTGATTTTATGGAGTTTCCCGCCAAGCATGGCGAAGGAAACTTCGTAAGACGTTTATATTAACGGCCATTGTCACGACCTGGTTTTTCGTCATAACAACATTAATGATATTAACGTTTGTCGTAATAATGAACGTAAATTTGTGACCTAAAATAAGAACTCATTAGGTGCGTTATATAACAGTAACTCCATTTAGTAATTGCAAAACTCGTTTTTATTTCAAGATCATGAAATGACGCAATCTGAGACTAAAATTAACGCTGATTTAAAGAACTTTTAAAAAATTGCATCCGATCATCTACTGCAATCAAGTGGAGTAGTTTCTGAGAAATAAGTCAGACTTAAGTCAGAAATTTTGAGAAACCATATATATAAAAAAAAAATCTAAAAATAATTTTTAATGCAGATGTATAAAATCTATACGTTTAACTTTGTAAAGGCTTTTCTTTTATTTACAAATTGCATCCGATCATCTACTGCAATTAAGTCGACGATTTTCTGAGAAATAGGTCACACTTAAGTCAGAAATTCTGGAGAAAAGAGTCAGACTTTTTTTAAATTATATATATTATTTCGTGTGTAATACAGCGTGTGTTGAATCGTGTTGAATTGTGCAAACTTTCTTCTCTGGATTACCATGAAGACACCACCGCTGATTTATTTGAAAGTTGGTTTAAAAACAAACTAGTTCCAAACAGTCCTCCTAATACCGTCATTGTAATGTTTACTAAAACCCCTTCCTCATGTGACACAAAAGCAACAATCGAAAACTACATGCATAATAACGACATTTATTTTCACGAAGATTATACCAAAAAGCAATTAATTGAGGTTCTACAAAGCTTGAAACTGCAAAAGGAATACGTCTGTGATAATTATGCAAAAAATCTAGGGCATACTAGGGCATCAATAAATCAATCAATTTTTTTTTAATGCAGGTGTACCACAAGGTAGCATATTGGATCCCTTGTTGTATACAATCTATACGTTTGACTTTGTAAAGGCTTTAAAATATTGAAATTATCACCGCTGACGACACTCAAATTTAATTTTCTTTTCAAGGTCATAAAATGACGCAATCTGAGACTAAAATTAACACTGATTTAAAGAACTTTTACAAAATTGCATCCCATAATCTACTGCGGTTAACTCCAACTAAATCGTCGGTGTTGGTTTCTGAAAATGACTTCCAGGTACATAATGTCAAAAACAACACGATCATAAAAATTAATAATTTTTATTAATTATTATTATTTTTAATAATTTATTTTATTAATAAATATCCGGGGTCATGTATTAGGAATTGGCAGTCTCACAACTGGATTACTATACACCAGAATATTATACATATGAATTGAAGTTGTTTCTTCTCAACTAAGTATTTACAAAGAAAATCCGAGAAAGTCAAATTGTCTAGTGTTGTCAATGCTCCAGACATATTCATTGTGCTTTCATCTGTCCAAATAACATTTTCCTGGAAAGCCGGAAAATCGATTTTCCTGGATGTAATTTTTGAGAGATTTGGATTTGTTTAGCATCTGAGATCACTTTTTTTATGATATCTCCAAGTATGAGAAGAAGCACCTAAATAAAGTTTTAGCAAATCTCGTTTGTAAAGTCTATTTTTAACGACTAGATAGTGAAGTGTCATAATTGTGAAAATTTAAACATTTTTCGTTTGTCAGGTAACTATACTACTATTACTATTATTATAACGTAACGTTGTAGTAACGTACTGTTACTATAACATAATAAGTAAAAAATCAAATAAATAAATAAATAAAAATGGGCGACACACTTTAAAGAAACCACTTGGCGTTCTCCTTGCAATTTCGCTGGTCCTTCGAGCCGGATCCCGCACAAATAACGAATCGTTTTTTCAATCGCCTCACGGTTTATTCAAAATCAATTTATTTTATTCGCCCGTTATTGCGTCAATATATCCTATAAATACAATACGGAGACTGGCGTTTATTAATTATACAGGTCAATAAAATGCAAGTGGTTTTTTATTGGGATGTATGGTGCGAGCGTATAAATATATATTTTAGAACGCGTCGACGCGATCGAAATTAATTCTTGTCTGTTGGCCATAATCGGTGTAATCGCTTGTACACCGGGGAGGAGATATATAGAGTTCCTGTTATTATTGACTACTCGGTATTGATTCGCCGTTCCTCTTATTTTAGGAACCCAAACGGCACGATCAGAACCATGCCAGCTTCGGGAGTCGCCGAAGAAGCCGCCCTTCTGGGGTAAGAAATTTTCATTCCAACTTTTTGAAAGGAAATAGGAAAAATACAATATATTTTATTATTTTATACAAGGGGAATTTATTATAACGAAAACAATAATAATAAATAGTGTACATTGCTCAAAAAATAAATAAATACGACGTTAAATAGAGAAACACAGAATTAAAAAAAAAGAAAACAAAATAATGAGCCAGAAATTAATTTGATTGTATTTTATCTGATAAAACCTGATGATATTCTAGGTAATTAAAATAAAATTATTTATTTTATATATCATATTTAATTACTAATTATTTCAGTGGCCTCCGAGATGGTGATATAGGTAAAATCATTGTACGGCACTGATGTTTTAAAGATTCAATAGTTAGTTTTTTTTATCAAACAGTCCAAGATAAAACCACTTTTTTCCCATTTTATACTTTTCGTATTTAGTTTCGTTAAAAAAAAATATAAAATCGGCAATCGATCAGGTTATTGTAATTACAAAACTAAAAAATAAGTATGAACAGTTTTGTAAAAATCTACATTCAAAATAAACGGAAGTAACAAAAAAAAATTATTTCTAGTTTTTGATTAAAAAAAAAAAACTAAACCTTCCAAAAATCAGTAGCTTAACACGATTTCACTTAAAAATCAATCGAAATGAACTACATCACGTTCTGGGACGCCACTGGACAATCAGCAAAAAGGTTTCTGAGTAAAAAAAGCAATTGTATATGTCTATAGGAAAAGCAGACTTATTTTGGACTGATAAATATACCTTTACAATATTTATTAGTGAATTCTATGTTATAACTATAAAGTAAAAACAACTTTTACCATTCGTTTTTGTTTATTATTTTAATTTGCCTTCATACTGCAGCGACGGCGATTTTAAATCATTTTCTTTAGAAGTCATTTTATCTCGCCAATATTTTAAATTATCCCCATCAATTATTATTATTAATTTTTTAATTTTTTGATTTAGATTTTTTTTTCTTTCCCTCGATGTTGTATTATTTATTGTTTCATAGATAGTTTTTCAACTATGACATGTCAATGATTAATTTAAAAATGTTCTGTGATAAAAACAAAAAAAAACATCGTTTTTCTATTAGTTTACTCCCAAATCACAAAATCTTTGGTGGCGTGTGTAATCAAACCGCCTGTATACGTAGTGTAATTAAAATTTTTAAAATTAAGCGCTAAAGGCTCGCGTATTTTAAGCGAGGTTTAAAAATATCCTTCTAAAAATAAATCCTTTCGATGCATTATGTCTTAATTTGATATTTCTATTTGTGTATTTTATAGATTATATCATTATTTCCTTTTTCTGCAAATTTTTGTATTTACTATAGCAAAGCGTTGGATGGTCGAATAAACTTTCTTGTACGTTACCGCCCAACTATAAGCAGGTGACACACACATTTGGTGTTTTAAAATAGACAGATTTGCCGGCTTTAGATAGGAAAATGAGAACCAAGATGGCCGAACACCGCGCTCATTTCCCGTCATCATCAAGCAGCAGACTTTATTTGCCTAGAGAGATTAGGGAACCTGGAAATGAAGCTTGCGGTCCAAATAAAGAAATTATATACTTGCATCACTTAACTCCACTGCGAATCTGAACGGAGCGATTGTGGCAGCTGACAAGAACCTGACTTCTACAAGTCCTGAAAGAAAAAAGAATATTCAAATGCTTGAAGAGAAGTGGAGAAATAAACAATTACACCGAAGATACGCAACGGTTTTGCATGGCACTGAGGTTGACTAGGGGTTGTCCACACTATATCTTACTTACAGCAATTCAATTCAAAAAAGGGATGACTAAAGTGTTGAACACCAACTAACCGGCAAAAACGAGATCGCCGCAACTAATAGTTGGGCGGTACCCATTTTCTCCTTTGGAATAGTTAAATGGTCCAAACTTGCCAGATTTAGTCAAATTCAGATGTTTATATCCCAACTCATCAACTTCACGGCTTTATATTCCTAGAAAAGAAGGTCTCCCAGGCCTCTAAAATTAGTGCGAAATTACTAGAATCCGCAGACTGTATCATCCAGTCTACAAGAAATGCTGATAAAAATTTCACACCACTCAACTTAGGTATGCCAATAGTAACCGATATATCACCACTACGGGAGGAAAAAGGACTTCATGGTAAATACCCTCTAACACTCGAAGATACGTTCATCGGCAAAATATCATCACTACAGTGGCTTTATAAGGGCTATCTTTAACCTGAAACTGAGGGCTTTATTCTCGCAATATAAGACAATGTAATTAGAACTAGAAATTATGAAAAACATATATTGAAAATCAACACAATACTGAAGAATCCATTGATGGGTGTAGCGCACTAGCAGATAATGCTTATTTATTAAATATGAACGAAAATCAATTCTCGAAAATAGGTCGCATCTGCTATACGGGGATCGTTCAGATAGAACGTTCGCTCACAACAGACCAGAAATTCTTCTTATTAATAAACATTGAAAAAACAGGGACAATCATTGATATTGCCATGAAACTGAGAAAGTTCGAAAATATAAAGAGCTGGCTGTCCAGCTAAAACAAATATGGTAATTGGTTATGTCAACGGAGGGAATTTCAAGAAAAACCTGGACAAACTTGACATGCAGAAAAACACAAAGCGATAATACTCGAGACATGTCACATTGTTCGAAAATTTTTGTGCTTAGGTGAAAGTTCGTCTCTACCAATATCACATCACCAATGCCTGCTAAGCAGAGAAATCTAATAATCTAATAACATGCAGTAAAATGCTCAAAGAGCACTTTTTTTTACCAAAACAAAGACTGACGTGGGGTCTTTTGCAGAAAACCGCATTCGGTATTAAAACGCATTAGTTTTGCTTATAAATAGTGAACTATACGTTCCCACCAGGAGGTAATTTATTATCAGAAATCGATATTACTCGTCGTTACACACCTGGAAGTCTCCGATTGTTCGGAAAACCCGGTCGGGCGGTAAAATCGTGTTTCTTTCAAAATGAAAAACGAATCTGCGGAATAACTTCTGGCCCGCATCCAACGACGGCAATTGGAAGGGGAACCAACCGACCGACTTGCAATTTGCTATTATAACAGAGACCGTTTTCGTGGCGAAGCAGATATAACTCGAGACTGCTGTAAATCTATATAGTGCGAACTTGACCCAGTGTTGGACGAATCGAATATTAAAAGTTCGGCGTTTGTGGTGGTTGGTGATGCTTTGTGTCCAATACAGAATGAAGAACGCACTCCTGATCTAATGAACGTTGGTTACTGGAAAGAAACCTTTAGTATAGGTGAGGCCTGCCTGTCACGCGTCAAGTGCCTCAATATTTTGAGTTGTGGAGAGGTTTTGACACATTCAACTTCAAATTATAACCAAACCAAAACGAGAAAACTGTATTTTTCCATTGTAGGCGAAAAGTACCATTCAGATAGTGAACTTTCTAACAACAATTTGGTTGTTATGGAAATTGCCTCATCAGTTAGCTCCGTTCAGATTCATTTACCTCCTTGTGAAGATATTTTTTATACACCATTAACTAAACACAACAACAATGCTAGTCCCGGAATTGTCTTTTAGGTTACATTATGAAAGTTAACTGAATTGTTAACTGTTAATTGGAATATAAACTTTCAATGGGTTCTCCATTATCACCAGTCATAGCAAATATATTTATCGGAGGAAAACCCTCGACACTGTCCATATAACGTCACACGCTACATCAGAAACTAACATAATCTCTGACATTCTTATTAGTAGAACATCATATTGAGCCATTCTGGTTGCAGAAAACCTACACATACAGACATATCTAAATGCTGGGGCCAAACCTTCTCATATCAATCGAAAAATGCTTGTCTGGAATATATTTTTCTGATAACTGTCAAATTGTTGAACAGACATCGGGAACAGTTATGGGTTCTCATTATCATCGCCAATATATTTATGGACGCCTTTTGGTATTTGCCCTCATGGTCAAGAATCCCACCAAGATCTTCATAGTCATTTCAACCCTACACACCCTAACATACGTTTGATTCTTTTCAATTCTTATCAATAGAAAATCAGGCACGAAAATCATCCGTTCATCCCAGAATTAAAATACCTAACATCTGCTCTACTGAGTTATTAAGTGTTCCATTAGAAAATACGCTTCACCACAAACCAACACTTACCACTGTAATCCTTCTTGACATCCAAAACATTATTAACCACATATCAGTTTTTAAGAAATTAATGTTAAGACCAGATTTACTGAAAAAATCCGACAATCCATAGCAATATCTAAACAATCAAACCGAATCGTGTCTTTACTGTTCACCAAAATAAGAATCATTTATCCTAGAACATGTTAAATGCCCCCTCTTAAGCAGTGTATCAGCAGCTCAAGAGCAGAACGCAAAATGTTTTGCAAATAGTTACTATTTGCAAGATTAAGTTAAATTAAAATTCCCCTCTGCTTCCTCCCTTTCCGCTCTCCCACCACCCCATCACTCTCTCTCTCTCTCTCTCACTGCCTCTTTCATTAACGGTTAATAATTTATCCACCAAAATGGCAATTTTCAGTGTCATTTACAAGTTTTTTGCCCATTACAGCCACATTGTACACGTAAATTGCTGAAGATAGAGGTGGTAGCTCTGAATCTCCCAATATTTTTTTCTGAATCCATGCGGTATGTCGTAATAGCAAATGTTTTGAAACTTTTTCACTGGGTTCTCCTATGTATGTAATTGTTTTAAATTGTTTGTGTTCTGTATTAGGTTTAGAATAAATAGAGTTTACTGTTGTCTGCCAAATCAAAAAAAAAATCCAGACAACAGTAAACTCTATTTAGCCGAAACCTAATACATAACACGGATAATTTAAAACAATTACATACATAAGAGAACTCAGTGATAAAGTTTCAAAACATTTGTCAAAATGTGGTTTAAAAATAGCTTTCAGAACTAACAACACAATAGGAAATTTTTTTAAAAACAGTAAAACGAAATGTCCAAAATCTCAAAAAATCAGGTGTCTACAGGTTGAAATGCGGATCTTGTCCTAAAATTTATATTGGACAAACAGGTAGATCCTTCAAGAAACGTATTAGCGAACAGAAAAGAGCGTTTAAAAACAATAGTCTAGATTCTAATCATGCTACACACTTAAGCACAGAAAAACACATTTTTGACGACGATTTTGATATTTTACATACAGCCACAAAAAGTAGAAACTTAAATTTATCGGAAGCCATGGAGATTAACAAAATGAGACATTCAGATGTATTGCTTAACGATCAATTAGATTTAAATACTTCTCCATTATTAAACTTTAATGTCATTTTTCGGTATATATAGTATCAGGTGGTTTGTAAATATTACATTTGATAGAGACACGTATATAATTTTGTGAAAATCTGAACTTTTAGTTCTTATTTATTTTGATAAATGGATTTTCGTCAAGTAAAAGCCACCTCAGTTCAATTTTTGAAAAGGTTTCGTTTGCCAAGCGCGCATGCTTCCGAACAATTTTATTTCATACAAGTACTTGCGAACAAACCTAGAATTTGATGCAGCTAGTTGTCGGTTACTTTATAACGTGACCATCATGTACACCAAGACTGTGAAAATAATTTCATCTACTTATAGACTCATTCGTTTCTACATTGGAATTACGCTTCTGGTATATTGTCGCTCAATCGAATGCTTTTGGGCAAAAAATCTAACCTAAAAACTGGCAATAGTTTCTCACGCTTATTAACGAATCACGCTGCGCACGCTGATTCGTGTATTATCGCTGCGTGAGACTTACAAGAGTCTTCCACTTGCAGCACTATGCCGTCGGACAGTATGGACGACATCGAGCTGAAGAATATAAAGCTCCAGTTTCCTCACGCGAGGTCGATGTCGCGTGAGGACTCGATCGCCGTGGAGGAAACGGTCGAGACAGATCGAGGCAATGTCGTCGTAGCAGTGCAAGGCAACCGGAATAAACCTGCCATAGTCACTTACCACGACCTAGGCCTTAACTGTAAGCTGTGCCCATTCTTCAGACTTTAAATAACGTCATTGTCTCTGTGTTTCCAGACATCTCCAATTTCCAAGCGTTCTTCAACTATATCGACATGCGAGCCTTAATCGAGAACTTTTGTATTTACCACGTGAACGCGCCTGGTCAAGAAGAAGGCGCGGCTACTTTGCCGGAAGAGTAAGTTCGCATTAAGCTTTAAGTTTAAGTTTCTGATCTAATGTACCTTTTCGCAATACCAGTGGGTTGGGCGAAATAACTGTTCAACGTAGGTGAGGGCATAAAAAAAGGTGTTTGACGTCACACGACAGTAGCGGATTCCAACGCCTCATTATTTTTATTATATTATATTATAATCGAATGCAAAACTGTATTGATCATCAGGGTGAATATTTTGAAAAACAATAAAGTTATATTTGTTGGTAGCTTATAGTCTTCCATTACAAATCCCGAAATATAAATTTTTCTTTTTCCCTTTTACTTTGGAAGCCGTCAGCAGGCCATTGTCTACAAACCGTTAGGTTTCCTTTTTACCGATCGATTTCCAGCTACGTGTATCCCACCATGGACGAGCTGGCCGACCAGCTCAACTACGTCACCACCCATTTCGGCCTGAAACAGTTCATCGGGTTCGGAGTGGGGGCCGGCGCTAATATCCTCTGCCGCTACGCGCTAGGCCATCCGGAACGCGTATCCGCCCTTTGTCTCATCAACTGTGTCAGCACTCAGCCTGGATGGATAGAGTGGGGCTACCAAAAGCTGAACACCAGACATTTGCGATCCAAGGGTATGACTCAGGGTGTGCTGGACTACCTCATGTGGCATCATTTCGGACGGGTTAGCAACGGGGTGGTTTTGGAAGCGCACAGGCTCACTTCACTGCTCCGTTGCAGAACAACGAGGAAAGGAACCACGACCTGGTGCAGGTCTACAAGAACTACTTCGAGCGGAACCTGAACCCGACGAATCTGGCGCTGTTCATCGACAGCTACGTGAAACGGACGGACCTTAACATCCAGCGCGACCTGGACGGCACCAAGAAGAACCAGTACACGCTCAAGGTGCCAGTGATGAACATCACCGCGGCATATAGCCCCCACGCGGACGACACTGTTACGTTCAATGGCCGTTTGGACCCGACGAACTCGTCGTGGATGAAGGTAAAGCGGGTACTATATAACAGTATACACTTTCAATATGCACAAATGTTTTTAAGACTTTCTGGGCGTCTAATTTGATCAGGCTTCCTACGAAAACCATACCAATTTTATAACGGTATACTCCAACAGAAAGTCCCGAAGTGGACAAATCTTTTTAAGACTTTCTGGGAGTCCATTTTGATGAGGCTTTCTACCAAAACCATAACAATCTTATAACAGTATTCACCAAACAGAAACTTCCGAAGCGGACAAATATTTTAAGACTCTCTGGGTGTTCATTCACCAATCTTTTAACAGTATACGCAAACAGAAAGTCCCGAAATGGACAAATCTTTTTTTAAGACTTTCTGGGCGTCCTTTTGCTCGGGCTTTGTACGAAAACCATACCAATCTTGGTGACAGTTGATGAAAACACAATAACAAAATAAAAACTATCAAACCAAAGCTATACACTTGAATAGTAAAAGTTGATTCTTGGACTTGGGAAACTGCTTTCGCAGGAGAACGATTGCCCCGTCACTTTAACGATAAAATAAATAAAGGTTCTTTTGTGGTTGGTACCGGTACTCTGTTGAGTGTGGTGTATAGTATTTGTTTTTCTGTCCTCGCTTCTCCGCCCCTCTGTTTTGCAGTTCAAGCGGTCTCTACACTCGCAAAATTGCGTTACGCTAAAATGATTATTTCAATATTGTCAAATATCAAATAGTATCTGCACCAAGTAAATCTGTTTACACTTGTGGTTTAAGTCTAGACTCAAATAAAAGTTAAATTTACATCGGAGGCCGGGAAGCTAAATAAATCGCGAGTTATTAAAGAATTAAACACAGATTCCTTCTTCTATATTTTTCCTTTTCCTTTACTTTATAAATTAGCGTTTTTGTTTTCAGATGTTTTGATGATTCGTCTGATTTATTATTAACTTTTCAGCTGGTAGTTTTGTATTTAATTCCTACAGCATATTTCGGTTAGTTTCGACATAATCCTTCTTTACTGATGTCCCTATTCCTGAAACACTCAACATTATTTCAGATGTGTAAAAAATTTCAGAAACTGGATCCAAACGTTCTCATCAGAGAAACCCACAATTCCTTCTACTAATTTCCTCATTGAGATATTAAGTGTTCCATCACAAAATACACTTCACCATAATCAAGGACAATAAGTCCGAAAGCAACTCCTCGCTTGCTACCGTTGTCGTTCCTTACATTCAAATCTTGAGAAGTATAACGTGAAAACCAGATTTACCACTTCAAAGATCTTTCAACATGCAATTCATGCAAATACCAACTAGGCTAAAAGGACAACTAACAAACAACCTTAACCGCTGCTCAGGTCTGTACCCTTCACCAATATTCTAATCAGTCAAAGTCCATGCTCCTCAAAAAATTTCAGTCATGCTCTGAAGAAGCCAAGAGGATGATTCGCGAAACCCGACGACCCAAGTGACATCCAGAAGTTTTCTAAACAGTACTGATTTATTATTATTATTTTTATATTGCTCGCTTACAACATTGACTTTTCCAAAACTTTTGTCTATACACTGTGACTGGTACAGGTATTCTTACTGCGTGCAGTAAGGAAGAACAATTTATCTGTGAAGGCACTATACAGTTTTGCATTTCATTCATTCAAGAAGTAGAGTATGTCTCAAAGTATATCGTTTTAACTTTTGACAAAACGTGATAAAAAGCTTACAGTTAAAGGACACCGAACTAAAACGGCGGGTAGTATACAGAATAAGGCTATACTTTTACCTCAAAAGCGCCCAGTTAAAGGGCTTCACCAAGGAGCCAGTGAAGTCTGATCCGTGGGGTGCTTCAAAAAAGTTGAGTCTTTAAGCTTTCCAAAACCATATAACAAAGTATGATTATCATTAAAAGAAGATTAATTACAGCCATTTAAAAATTAGTAAATTTTGAATTTTTCAGAAAGAGCTTTTAATAATTTTTTATCTACACAATTTCTCAAAATTTTGATCCTAACTAACTCTGATTAGAAAAATTAATCTAAAAAAATTGACAATTTCAATTCTGTATAAGAGAAGGCATTTAAAATATTCAGAAGTATTTAAATGTTATTTTCACAACTTTTCAATTCAATTTTTTAATCAGGGAATAGTCATATGGATTACAAATTTCAAAAATGGTTGTCAGCACGTAGTGCGGGTGGCAGAACTCATTATGATGTAATATGTATTATTACATGTAATCATCGATTACAATTTTTTGACGATTTGACTTTTTCCATTCTTCATTTAAATATTTAGACTGAGCTTCTGTTAAAGAATGTGCTGAGTTATGATTATATATAACAAACAAATTCTCAAGGCGATTTTTAAATGTATGCTAATTATTTTTTGTTTCTGCGTTTTATTTTCTTTATTTTTTTTTCAAAAGTTACCACTCTCGATAACCTTTCTTCATTTTAGTAATAGGTTTGACAGATGGTAATCACTTCATCAAAACACTATCGAATTGTGAGGTTAGAATCTGTATGCTTGTAGAAAAATAAATGTAAAACTTTTCTTATACTCGGTAATTGTCGTTTACTTAATTTTCTACATGAAAAACCAACCAAATAAATTTTCTTTTCAGCCACTTTACTGATAATAATTGAAACTACTGGGTGTATTCTGTAATTGAGTAAAAAGCATGCTCCAGAAGAAACAGTCTAATTTCCATGGATAATTTAGACTGTGGTAAATCTCTGATATGTTGAGGAAGAACATTGTACAAGTCGGTGCGAGGCTTATTCTTTGCCGAGGTCTTCAGTCTGGAATAGTATGGTACGATGAGGTCTGCCTCATCGTACCATACATGTCAGCATGTCTTTCAAAAGCATGTATATTTTCATGGCCATGGAAAGCTTAAAGACTTAACTTTAACAATATAAATTGGTTGTTTGTAAAAAATCGCTAACATTATACGTAAATTTAATTTTAGTGAACAAAGAATTTTTCCCATGCTGGGGAAAAAAAAAATAGCGACCCTTAGCGTTGAGCTACAGGACTCATCATTGGTGAGGATTTTTTTTATATCAAAAAGAAACATTTGAGAGGGTAAGAGCTAAAAAAAAAAATTGAGAATTTTTTTTTTGAAGCATCCTACTGATCAGACACGAACCCGGGCGAAGCTAATGCGATTGCCAGTTTTCTCAAATCTTTAAGAGTGAAACGGAATAAGATTTTGAATGCACGCTTACTTATTTAGGTACTTATCGATTTAAAAGTCAAGTCAAAACGATATACTTGGAGACAGAGTACGGGCGAGGTAGACATTTGAGGTCGGTCTTTTGGATTTAAGATATCCGACTGCGGCATGGTGCTGGAGGAGCAACCCGGCAAGGTCAGCGAGGCGTTTCGCCTTTTCCTACAGGGAGAGGGATACGGTAAGTGAACGCGTCGTTCCGACCGAAAGCACAAACACACGCGCGTAGCGAATCAGTTGTTTGCTAGCGGTACCGTAATTAAAATATTTTTTTGGGGGATAAACGTGTTAAAAATTGCCGCAAGAGTATTTGTAACGATATCGCTACCACGCTCTCAGGTACACCGCTTCGCAATGATGTAATTATTGTTATCTTGGGATTTTTTGGATATTTGGTGCGCCGCGCACGTGGCATATCCATTTTGCGCCCAGGTATTGCGGAAAAATTTTCAGTTTTTCTGCAAAAAAAATATATATTGTGCGGGATTTTTCCATTAGGAGTTGTGCGAGAAACAAAATACTTGGTAGGTGGCCGTAATAATAAAAATATTTTCGCTATTTCAATGTTGCCAGTTTTGGTATCTCATGAAACTTCTGATGGGAACCCCCGTATATCATTGACTGACCAATTAGTTTTGGTTCGTTAGACTGACCAATTAGTTTAGTCACCACTTTCGTCAATTTGTGTTCATATATCAGCAATTCCAAAACGTTTTACCAAATAAGAAAAGTTAATGTTTCCCAAACTAGGTGGTCTATCAGAAGAAGCAGAATAACGTTTAAAGATGGCAGCTTATGGCCACTAGGTAGAATAATTTTTAAATATTTCGAGAAAAGCATTAATCATGGACATGTAAAACTTTTTCACACACATTCCTTCTTCTTCCGAAATCCAAAAAAGGTTCTTTTAAGAAATATTAGAAAAAAGTACTTCAAATGTTCAAGTTTTTGAACCGTACTAGTAAATGTAAACGTACTAAATGGAATGTAAAATTGGCTAGGATATTTAGCTTTAACCAAACTTTGGTTTTTAGTTAGTTGCGATTCCTATTCGATTAATTATATTAATTAATATAATATAATATAATATAATAAAATATTAATATAAAATATTAATCCTCACAGTTAAAGGGCTCAGGAACTTTCGCAAAATCGTTGTAATTTTATTGTGCGTTCACCCTGTATAAAGTGTCCTTCATATCTCGTCGAACTTCAGAGTTACGGCAAACCTCGGTAAAAATTAAAATTTGTACTGGTAATTGCAATTTAAAATTATATTTTTTCAAATTTCTCGCGCACCCTGTATTATAGACGAAAACCGGATCTCCCTCTCGACACAGTTTACGAAACTGTTCAAATCAAATTATCCCATCTCCAAAGTTAATCATTTATCGCCAATAATTTACCCACAAAAACGAAAATTTTTGGGATCTTTTAGATTTTTTGTCCATAAACGACACACCCTGTATATAATTCAAACAATGTTCGAAGTAGAGGTTTTCGAGAAAATATTTTTTTCTGAAACCATGCAGTGCGCTGTAATAATCAATGACGTCATCGCGTCTTGACAGATCTCGAAATAGCGATTTCGATATGGTTTTTTTCAAATATCTCGAGCAGCGTATGTGATAGACGTAAACCGCAAATAAAAAAATTGTAGATCTGGATACGGCCCATAATACTTTTTGAACCAATTAACCATATTTTTTACGATTTTTGATTTACGCCAATAATTTATTCTGTAAAAGAACAATTTTCTGTCTTTTAAATTTTTGCCTATAATTTGAAAACACTCTATATAATTGAAAGAATTCCTGAAACAAATGTTATTTTACTGGATTTTCCGCGTGTACTGGTTTAATAATTTTGCCGACCGGGTGAAGGATTGTGGAGTAAAAAAAAAAAAAAAAATTAAACACTTTTTAAAAAATACTTGGTAAAACTTGATTGCACCCAATTTCTACCGTTTAAATGTGGACACGGACTTTTACTTTTCTGGTAAATTTGAAGTTGATATCTGCAAGTTTAGGACAATTAACACATTTCCCATTTAGCACGGAATATCGGGAACACCCTGTACAATAGGTGAAAACCTTAAATACAAAAGTTTTTGCTGTCTATGCGGGCTATATCGCAATATAAAAGAAAGTGAGATCCGTAGTTGTAGTTATAACGAATTTTCGATAATAGGGGGACCCATTTTTCAGTTTTTTTGAATTTGCGGCGCACCCTGTATATTTTTGAAAAATTGTCAAGAATAAAAGTTTATGGAGCGTCTTCTGGCGTAAGAATTTTTTTGTTCTCGTAAACGGTTTTTGAAAAATGATGTTTTTTGTAGATACTTTCGAAAAATTCCCTTTCATCGATCTTCAAAAGTAACAAGCAAGCAAGCAAGGTGTTTCTGTGGCCTGTTGGCCTTCTTTTGTGAAGCTCCAGTGCTTGCGTTATTTTTTGCGTCTTCCCTTTGAACTCTAACAACGAATTAACTCGTGTGTAAATGCTCTACATCTGTAGACCGCGTGGAAGCTATCATTAACTTTTCTGCATTTCTGGTAGCACATCTCCGCATGTAAACCCAGACGGAAGCTTGCCTTTGCCAAAAACGGCTGTTTAACTGTGAGCATTAATATCATTGACCAGCTCCTTCTATTATGTAAGGGGCTGGTTCCTTTTATCTAGGTCTCTTCGTTTGACTACCAGTAGCCCCCGTTACTGTCGTTCACTTTCCGATATAACTAACCAATCTCTCAACCTATTTGTTGTATATTATGACATAAGATTTAAGTTATCGCATACAGGGAGTTTACAAAAAATTACAAAAAATTATGAACATGTTATATCTATATGATACAGGCAAGCTGTAAACAAAATAATATTTCAAATATTTCAAAAAAATACCTTTCATAGGCCATCGAGTTTGAGAAAGCTTCTACATGCAGTTTGTTCAAGGCCACTTTGGGTATAAGGAAAACGTCGTTCCCGGTGTCATTTGCTCATACTATCAAAATCAGTGGCGCGCCATCATTGTGGTGCCAAATATCATTAAAATATCTAGTTCAGGACATTTGTTCACATGAGACTTTCTCTTTGAAATGGACCCAAAAATCACAAGACAATACGTAAGAAATGTTGGTTTCAATTGGAAGAAGGCGGAGACTATCGCGAAAAATGGTTTAAAAATCAGCTCATAGCAAACAGTTTGACAGTGACGGATAACGCAAAATCATGTACACAGCAAAACCAAATACAAATGTAAATAAAAGATCTGTCAAAGCAATGTAACACGACCTGGTGATCTCTAATTCACAGGCAACCTTACAATAATCGTATTAAATTAAATTGTTATTAAAGGTCCATTTATGTAAAATTTTTTCTTGCAAAAACTGGCTAATCAAATTGGTATTCGTGTTGATCGTGAAGAGACCTTTAAAAGGAGGTATCACATGGCCTCTTCTACTATTAATAAAAAATAAGGCAGTTTTAGAAGCAAGAAACTATGTCAAATAAGTCTCCGCACACTATTATTTCTTATGATAAATTAAAAAGTTTCTTAAAGGCTTAATATTTTATGCAATTGCCATTTGGTTTGATAATGGCACTAAGTCTTTTTGTAAGACTTAAAACAAGCTTTCTGGCGATATGTTTTCCCACTCTTTAATTCTTATAGTTCTTTCTTTCTAGTTTTTCAACATTTTGGTTTAAATTATTCTCTAGGTTGTTCAAATAGGTTGGTCCATGATTCCGTCAAAAAAAAAGCTAAAATAAAACATTACCTCCACCATGCTTCACCGCAGGACAGACATTTTCGATGTATGTTCAGAGCTGTTTTTTATCCCCACCATCTGACCCAAAAAGATTAATTTTTGTTTCGTCACTGACGAAAACGTTTTCCCAAAACTCCCTGCGTTTGTTTTCGTTTTTTTTTTTGGCAACGCGGCATTTATAACCTGCTCTTGCACTTATTTGAATTAATTCTAATTTTTTTCACAACAGAAGACTCTTTTCGTGCAGACGACCAGAGCGTGGCCACACTTTATAAGATCCGGTGGATTTTATTTATATTTTACCAACATCTCTAAATTTCGCAATTTTTAACGCTCATTTTGCTTTCACTTTAGTGACGTCAAAAATAAACAAGTAAAACTCATTTGTTTAAACGAAATTTGATACAAGCCGACTTGATAAAATATTGATAATTAACGCTGTTACCCGCTGTCCGGAATAGTGATTTATTAAAGTATATGGAGACTTATTTAACATAGTTTCCTGCTTCTAAAACTACCTTTTTGACAGACTGTACCAACTGTGCCAACTTTTACCGTGCCATATACAAGGGTACAAAAAATAAATATTATATTAATAGTAAATTAAACTAAAAAATAGTAAAAGTTGAAAAAACCTTCTGATTTATTATAAGTCTCACAAAACTTTGGAGAATATTCAGTCTGGATAAATGCTAAATATTTTATTTATTGATAAAATCGCTTCAAGTGGGAAATGTTTAATTAAAAATACCTACATACAGAGTATTTAAAACTGTGTCGACTGGAAATTGTTTCTTGAGTGCTACGAAAAATGGATATGCGACGGGCTACGCGTGTAGAGTCGTTTTCTATGTCGACGACTCGTCGACAATATAATATGTTAAGTAGAAATACAAACACGAAAATACACTGAGTTTCGTTTATTTTACAATGTTTGCATTGGTTGGACAATTTACGCGGACGGTATGTATTGGTTCTAATTGTTATTCCGTTCTCATTTTTCTTTGGCCGTTTTCCGTTGTCGTTTTCGTTCGTTTTGTTGTTGTTGTTTTTTTTTATGTTCAGCAGCTGCCTCGGTAAAGCCCAGTCCGAAGTTGGATCCGGTTTTGGAGAAATATTGAGTCATTTAAGCGTTTGCCAAAGTTCCCAGTTCCGTCGTGGTCGTTTTGTATATTTCAAATTTTAAAGTTATATCTAATCCGATATATTATAACGATACCGATATAAAGTGTCGAACTTAGAGACGCGAGATTTTTGTATCAACCATTCCGGACTGGTTTTCCTGCTCCAGTTGTATACCGAACCATCCACGTGCACATACATGTTCCATGAGCAAGCCTTTAAGCCCTTGATTTAAATTTTCGTAAAGTTGTTTTTTTTAGTTTGTTTTTCAGCTTCGCGCCTTCGCCAATATACGGAATCGAAATTTTATTGAGAAAGTAAGCGTGATTGGACGCGTTTCAGGCGGTGAAAATTAAAACAAAAAGTTCCATTATATTTTTAATTTAAATCCCTAACGAGGTAACTCTAAACATTGACCATTGATTTCAAAAACGTTTCTTCATCAGAAATTACAAAAAAAGGATATAATTATATCGTTAAGACTTCTACAAAACTGATATACGTGGTGTGTTCAAAAAGTAAGGTGACATTTGTAATTCTACGGGCTACGTACATTCGATGTTGGATATGTTTTTTTTGGTATGCCCCTAAGATAGTTTCAACCAGCTTGCACTTTTTTTTGTGAGACAGAAGCTTTAGACGTGTTTTGTGTGGTCGGCGAATTTCTGCTTTAAAAAAAAGACATACAGTGCTACAAAACTTTGAGCAAAAAAAAAATGTTTACAAGTGATACGAGGGAGGACGCGATTAATTTTAATGAATAAATAAATACTTTTCGATGCAACTTAAAAGTGACGTTACTTTTTCAACTTTACTTGTTGAAAATGCATTTAACAAAATAAATAAGAACTAAAAGTTCCGATTTTCACGAAATTATATATTTTCACATGACAATTGTTTGGACATTTGACATAGAAAAACACGGTGTTGTCGAAAATATATAATTTCGTGAAAATCTGAACTTTTGGTTCTTAATAAATAAAACACTTTGATAGTGCTGTGGTTTTCTTTACAAGTTCGGCAATTTTCATACAGGCTTGTGAAAGCTGGTATATGGCCCCGACTTATATAGTCTTTTATTGACAATTTTCACCAATTGTTCCGACGCGTATCGGCCATCTTGTTGTCAGAAAAAAAAAATCGAAATTTCCATTTTCAGGTAGACCCGGCAACATTGCAAATGCCAAAACATTTTTAAGCTGTACGTCAGGGTCAATTATGGCAGCATACCAAACCTCAAAACAATATCTACTTGGATTGTCTTAAAACTTCTTGTAAAAACTGCAACAAAGTTTTTTGCTTAAGATTTCAATTATTATCGACATACATATTTTATTTCTAGTTTGTATTGAAAAATGTCACCAAAAAAAAACCCTGAAAACGCATTCAATACGCAAAGGCACAACTATGAAGGTTGTGGAAAGTGTTTTAATCTCGCAATTTTGCGACCAAATGTACAGGGTGGTCCATTTAAGGTAGAAGTATAACTAAAAAAATAACGTATACAAATTTTATTTATAGTATTTTTTATGTATACAGAGTGTTCCGTTGTGCCAGGACGGCAACCAACTTTGTTTTTTTTTAATTGAATTCTATGAATATTATTTCAAAAATTGTGATTATTCGCTTGATTTTTTGTCATACGAAATTTTGCGTAGTTTTTGCGAGTAATGACCATTTTGTTTTGCGTCAAATCAGGTGTTTTTTACACTTGAAAACTAAAATTCTGAAATTTTTATTGTGTACATACTCAGCGTCTCCATAAAATGCCGTTTTGCATTTTTAAAAAGTCCGAATACTTCCGAAAATGTTCCACAAAAAAAAATGGATTTTTCAATTTTGGTTTCTGTTGTCTTCTGGCTTTTGGTTAAAATAAATTCGCTTATGGCGCCCATCATCAACTGATTTCCTTTTAATACGGGCCTGTTTTCAATTTAATTAAATCCTTTCATCGCTCTTAAATATCATCATTTTACATTTATTTAACCATAATACGGCCCTGCATTTTTAAATTATTACATTTTCGTTACATTTCGTTAATTTAATTCACCATAAGTATTCCAAGAGGTATCATTTTGTCTCGATGCATTTTCTTGCTTGCCTATGCATTTTTTAAGTTTTGTTAGTTTGTTTTGTTGTTGTTATTATTTAAGGTGAACATCAACTCCAGGTATTCAAATAGACAATTTGCTCATGAACTCAACAGAAAACGTATACTAAATACTTTACATTCACATGCATACAAAGGGCTTAAAATTCGCAGGCTTGGAGATAATTAGGAGTTAGTTCGAAAAATAGGTAAAAATGCAGATTTCTTTAATAATATAATATTCAGTCAACTAGCGGATGATTCAATAGAAACATTATTGGTCTATGGATGATCCAAGAATAAACCAGAATGTACGAATTAAAGGGAAGGGAGAAAGGGAGGGGACCTTAACTTTTGGAATGATGTCTTAGACTCTCTAGACAATCAATCAACCTTTGACGGTATTGCGCAACAATTCCTTAACCATGTATTCCCTAATAATTTGATAGGAAACAATGGTTTTGTGAGATGGCCCGCCAGAATTTGACAAGGGAGGTTTCTGCCATTCCTGCGAGAACAATTCATCGAACTATATTAAAAATTCAAAGCAAAACTAGAAAATATATCGAGGCAGAAAAAAACACTTATAGTGATAAAATCCTGTTTATTTTTAATATGGGTATCAATCTTGCAGTATCTGTTAGATATCAAATGAATTGCGATAAAAACTCTTTTTTTTAACTTCTCGCCCAAACATATCATTTAGGGCCGTATTATGGTTAAATGAATATAAAATATTTTGGTGGCGGAATTATGAGCACGAAACGTCGGCAAATATCAGAGTCACAATATATAGCGTTTCAAAAGTCGGGTCCGTATTTAAAAAAAATTAGTTGATCGTACTGAGTTACGGAGCAGAAAAAGTGTTAAAGCCAGGAAACAATAGAAATCGATTTTTTTTTCCGAATATTTGCCATTGATGAGCGCCGGAATTTGAGCCACCCTGTACAAGGCGCCATTGTTAAAGAGTGCTTCGGCGAGGGCGTTTCGTCACGTAACACACACAAAAAAGTTTCAGTCCGAATTGCTGAGGAATCGTGTTGTTTTAGCCGTACACGTGAGGCGACGTTCTAGCTGTGTGAGTGTGGGTTCGTTAGTCACCGCGAGTGCAAAGTAAAGCTTGTCGGTGCGATCCAGAGATAAAAACACCTCTCATGTAAGTTGAACGATACCCGACCCAGTCGGCACACCGCGTCACACTAAACATTCTAACACTTCCGAGTTATACCGCTGCGGGAAAATATTCTCCAGCCATTTACCCTGGATATTGGCCGATAACAAGACCCGATCGTTAAGACCTATCTTACCTGCTTACCTTACCTGCTTCCACTCGTATACTAAGAATTACCCAAAAAAAGTGAGTTATTAAAAATTTGCAAATATTTCAAAACAAACTTGCCTCCATACACTTGAAAGAGACCATGCGATGCAATGGTAAAAACAGTTTTTTTTATCTTTTAACTAACATTTAACTAAAACTTAGCGACCAGCCCAAGTTTTTCTCGCTGAACGTTGGTTAGCTTTTGATTATGGTTTATACAACTGGGCCTAGTGTTTCTATGTAGATTATAACTAAAAAAAGGGAAGACAATGACCGCATAACCTTATTTTTGTTCTGGTCAAAACGAAATATTTTTTTTTTGTTTTTATTATATACACACGTTTAAATAAAACCTATCCGCTAGCCTAGGTTCTTCGGTTAGCTTTTGATATATTTATACTAGCTCTGATGGTTCTATTAAGGTTACACCTGAGAGTGATTAGACAATGAAAACAATCTTCATTTTGTTGTGATCAGAAGAAACTACGTTCTTTTATTAATTTTTATTATTATTATTATTTAACCAAAACTTAGCTACTAGCCCAACAAGTTTTTCCTGCTGAACTTTGGTTAGGTTTAAGGTTTATGTAACAGGGCCTAATAGTTCTATTAGGGTTGTAATTGAAAGATGGCGCATTGACAGCATAACCTTTTTTTTGTGGCTTGACTACTAGCCCAAGAAGTTCTTTTCTATGGTTCTATCAAGTTTACATCTGAAGGGAATAATATTTTTGTGGTGACCACAAGAAAGTAAGAAACACCTAGGAAAATTCTTCTTCTTCTTCATGATCCGAAATACTTATATAATTCGACTCTCAGTTTACAGTGAAAGTTAAATCATCGACGCAAGGGTTTTTTGGGTTAGAGGCCGTGTTAGAAGTCGTAATAAAAATGCGGAAATTCATTTGAAAAAATTTTATAATTAGAAAATATTTTTAAAAAAGCAGGGAAAACCGGATATTCGTGTCCATACAGCAAAAAAAATTAGGGAGGTGCATGCATGCTGGGGTATTTTAGTCCGCGGGTATAACTCGTCTATGGCTAAACTAACACCGAAGTGTCAACGTCGATTCCAAAAATTGTCGGATTCTTCTCGCTACTCAACTTCGAATTTATTTTTTTTTCCGCCCTCTGGTGGTCATCTGTACAACAACGTCCGGGTAAGGTGCCCTCCCTACATTTTACACTCCCGGAACAGACAGCGCCTTCGGACGAGGTTCAGCCGTCTTATCGCCGAGATAGAGAGAGAGATCGGCCTACAAATATTTATTTTTAGTTCCCTTAGCTAGCTTAAAATGTCTTCCGTTATTTCGTTTCCGTTTCGCTGTAACCAAACAGCTGCATGTTTTGATTTCTTTTAATTTGCACACCAACACCTATACACGTGCTCGTATTTTGGCGGCAAGGTTTTGTTTGCCCAAGGTTTTTTTTTTAAATAACTAAAAACGCATTTTTTTTTTTTGGTTTTTATTTTTTCGGTGGGACGGAACCTTTACCCCGCGTCACCGAAAAATGGCGTTTTACTTCAGTAGCGGCGGTCGGGCAACGTTTCGGCAACCGGTTCGTTGGTTTCCCGCTTCCACAGGCTACTGTAATACTTCTGGATTCCTCCTGCGTCGGTTTTTGCCGAGAGACGTTTCGCCAATCATCCTGTTGGTTTCTTCAGAGCTTGACTGAAACTGCTTATATATCGTTTGAGGGGGCGGAGCTAAATGAGGGGCATAAACTCCGTCTCCGTCTCATATTGGTGACAGATTTCTATAGAATTTTAGTTATATCGAATAAAATTTTTCCCTATCAGACTCCTTGAAAAAATCTGTTACCCCTCCTGATTCTAAAATTCCTCGTTTCTACGCAATTCCAAAGATTCACAAACCAGGATTACCCCTTCGACCTATTGTCAGCACAAAGTTCCTATTCCTGAAACTGTCGACATCATTTCAGATATATTAAAATCCGAGAATCTGGAACCCCACCTTAATTGAAAAATGCTCGTCGGGAACATATTTTTGTGCAAAACGTCGGGAACAGCTATGGGTTCTCTACTATCACCAGTCATCAGGAATATATTTATGGAAGCCTTTGAGAAGAAAGCTCTCGACACCTTTCATCTAAAACCAAAATTATAGAAACGCTACGTCGATGACACTATTGTTATTTGGCCTCATGGTCAAGAAACCCTATTAGATTTTCTTAGACCCGGAATTAAAACACCTTATCTCTGCTCTTCTCTCTAATAATTTCCACATTAAAGATATTAAGCGTTCCATCAAAAAATACACTTCACCACAACCTTCCAATAGCAATGAGGCCGACAGCAACCGCGGTCCTTCCTTAGATTCAAAACATCACTGAACACATATCAAAAGTTTTATAGAAATACAACGTCAAAACCTGATTTACCACTTGTCCAAAAATCTCTCAACATCTTCGGTCCGTCAAAGACAAAATTCCATTTGAGATGCCAGAAGTTTACAGTATTCCATGCATATGCGGCAAAAAATACATTGGAGAGACCGGACGAAAAATATCAACTAGACTCAAAGAACACGAAACGGCCTTACGACTAAGACAAATAAACTCATCAGCTGTTGCCGTACAAAATCACGAAACCGGTCATACAAAAAATTTATTCGATAAAACTAAAAGGCATGTAATCAGTTCTTCTATCAAGAAAAATCCGAGAGTCTATAGCAATCTATAAACAACCTAACAATCTTAACCGTGACTCAGGTCTCTACCTGTCACCAATATGGGAATCAATCATCTGAGACCGTGTTTATGCCCTTCATTTAGCTCCGCCCACCTCAAAAAATATATAAGCAGGTGCAGAATCAAATACGAGCCAACAGGAGGATTGGCGCAACGTCAGCTAGTTCGACTCAGCAGAAACCGACGCGGAAGTTTTGTAAAAAGTATTAATTTTGGGAATGGGAAAATACATATACATTTTTGTTGTACATTTTCAAAAGAAAACATCGTATGAACGTCTTCAATTTTGAGATGACTTTTTTACCTATGAAAATCTTTCATTCGGATAACAACGTTATTAGGATGTCCTTTAAGGCGTACTTTGTTTTTTTTATACAGTTCTCCGTTTTCTCATAAACTGTCTATTTTGGCAGACGTTGCCGGTACGCCACTGATTTCTCTTAAAAATAAAAATTGTTCTCACAAACTCCAATCATTTTTAAATACATAACAATATTGTTGAAATCTGAGACAGCTTGCAGAAAAGTTAGTTTTTATTTTTAAGCCACTGATATTCTTTTAAAAAAATAATGACATTTGCGTTCATTTACGAGCACGATTGTAAAAATAATTTTTATTTTGCACTGAGGTCGCTTTTACTTGATAAAAATTCATTTAACACAATTAAATTTGAACAAAAAATGTTCAGATTTTGACAGTTTTTAATGCTTTATGACAGCTGTTTCGGGGACACCGTGCCTTTATCAAATGCAAAATATGACAATATTCTGAGACCTATACCGGGTGACACAAGAAACTGGGAGCACTCTATAACTTCTAAACGGCTTCATATGGCAATTTCAAATTTGGAAGGGTTAATATAGGCTGAATGCTCAATTTTTTGGCAATATGTAGTTACTTCCGGTTTGAGCAGAAACGACAGTAACTTTCGAATTTTAAATGGCTTTTAACAATGATTACTACCCCTCTTTGATAGATAAGATTATTACCATAAAGTAGTTTCAAATGACTTTGAACTCTATCTATCGAAACCAAAATTTATAAAAGAATAAAGTACATAGGAAAACCTGGTAAGAAAATTTCGAAACATCTGTCTAAATTAAAATCAAGAAAATAATTTTCTTTACAAATGATTGGAGTTTGTAAGAATAATTTTTATTTTAAGAGAAATCAGTGGCGTACCGTGTTGTGTAGTGAGAAAACGGTGAACTGTAGAAAAAATCTGAGTATGCCGCTGCATTTGCCTTAAAAGACACAGATTTTCATAAGTAAAACGTCAAAATTCGTGTCGTCCGAAACGTTGGCCAATCGCGGGCTCCCGATACGATCGGGCCTACGTCGCGCGGCACAGGCCGTTGACCTAATCGAATTCTGTTTCAGCGGCGCCGTTGTCTCCCGCCAAAATGGCGTTGTTCCGCAAACAATCGCTGGAGGAGATGTTCAAATCCAAGCTGCATTCGGGCGGCCACAAATGGCCGCTCGGCATTATCATTAACATAACGGAGAACCCGATCGCGGCCGTTGTCTGCTAAAAAAAAAAAGTTTCAAAGCCTCTGTATTGAAATTTACACGACGGACGGAGGTAATTTGTATATCGCAGTTTTTTTTTTGTTTGGGATGGGGGAGGCTTGACGCAATGGGTAAGTTCCCGTTCATATCCATTTCGACATATCCGGGTATTTTTTAAGGTTTGAGGTGAATCGACTGTGATAAATTTCAATACAGAAATATTATATACGTTGGCCACTGCCCCACACACACACACACAGACACACACACATGCAATAAATTCGTGTTGGTCCCGTTTAAATCAGCGGAATTCTCATGTCCGGAAAAATTTTGCGAGTCCGAAAGAAAACGCCCTTCATGGTTAAAAATTCCATTTAGCCATAGTGAATTGGACCTTTACTGAAGGTTGCCAACGTCTGATATGCGACTCAAAGAAGAAAAAAAAAATCTGAAACCTAACTAATATTTCAATGGTTATCCCAAGGCCTGTGGTGTTGCCGGTTGTTGGTTGTTCGAATGCTTTGAAGCTTTGAGTTATGTGAGGTATTGGGTTGTGACGAACAAAGTCGCTCAACAGACCGAGGAGAGTAAGAAACGTTATCAAAACGCTAACGTCCCACTTCTATATGAGACTGTCAAAAGCAAAGAGACGTAGACTTCAATTGAGTTGAAACATCTTCATAATTTTCTGCAACAGCTCTCTTTAACAGGATTATGAATATTATTTTGCTGGCAATACTGCAAATTAAGACCCCAAATTTCAATATTGTTATAGATCTTCATTGGAGAAACTATTACATTTGTATCGACATTGATGATCTGCCAGTTTGCCAACAATTTTAAGGGCGAACTAACTGTAGAAGTCTGTGAAATGTAGTGACCTCTCGGCACCCCAGAAGTCACATCCAATCACACCGGTCGTAATAATTTGGCACAGTCTAACATACTTTGCCAAAACAAAAAGATCCCAAAGTCTCCCATGGGTTGATGGAATCGTCTAAGGCTAAGTCGATGCATCACGACCATTTTCCATGGTCTCATTGATTTTCCGGACGCAATAATTTTTCCGGACTCCGACTAGGGTCTCTCTATTTTTTTATTTCACTAAACACCATCGAAGCGAAATCGCGATGATAATTGTCACAGCCAGTGTGCAACAAAAAATGCAGCCAATTTAGCCCGTCGCTTTGTTAGGGTACAACTTTTACATCTTTCGGAGGTTTCGTTAATACGTACAGGGTGTTTAATATTTTGTACGCCGTTAGCTAGCTAGTAGGTCGTTGCTTTCCTCGTCGCTAGGACAGTGTAGGGTTTTCATCCTCTTTAAAAAACTGAAGCTTTATTTTTCAGTTTATAATATAGAACGCCTCGTTTGTATCGATATAGGAGTTGTTGGATTTAGTTAGTTTGTTTTCGGGATGTATTCCGTTACGACATGTGAATAAAAATATAAAAATATGAAATGATATATAAAGCGTATTGTGCCTCACTTCGTAAATTTTATTTGAGCACTCATTGATTTTAATAAATTGTTGAGAAAATTTCGTTTTTTGTTTTATTATCCCGACGTAACCAGAAAACATTTTATAATTGTTCAAACGACAAACGACAAATGTCATTTGATGAAGACACGGTGTTGTCGAAACAATTGTCATGTCAAATATATAATTTCGTGAAAATCTGAACTTTTAGTTCTTATTTTGACAAATGGATTTTCATCAAGTAATACCACCTCAGTTCAATTTTTAAAAAGTTTACACCTCACACAGCTGATCAGTTTTATCCCCGTATCCACCAATGTAAAAAATAGCTGCTTTACAAGTAGTTAAGCAGAATTTTACTCAAAAGCCAGTAGTAACAGAAAATTGCGAACAAAAGTTTGGATTTCATTCGCTCCTTTAATTGTTGTAAATAAAATAATCCCCAAATTAATACTAGCCAATGTGTTGATAGCACAACCTAAACCTTTTGCTTTTCATAAAAATTATTTGGCAAAAACAATAGTGACATCTATCAACCTATGAAATGCCTGTGAAAAATTATATTTCTGACATTTTTTTCAAAAAGTATTTTCCAAAATTGACGTAAAAATGCATCTTGCTGCAATGCAAAGCTGTCACGAATTCGACAGAAGGAACCATTGTTCTTTTAACTGTTATACATCAATTAAGTATATAACGAGTTAATCAACAGTTTCTTGACAGGTGATTAGGGTGTTTATGGGTGGATTATACTTATAAATCTATGTTTTGAAATAGACAAAATGTTAGGAATATGAATATTTATCAACTGGAGAGACAGAAAAAGATAACTACAAACTATTTTGCCGCATCTTCATCTATTTAAGCCTAGATGGCGCAGTAAATACATTATGGTTAAGCCGTGTTTATGCTATGCTTCAGTCAATGTTAATATTCGTTCATTGCACAAAAGTTAATATTTATTAATATTGTCAAAAGTATTTCGAGTTTTCTATGTTGCACGTTAAAAATATCGCATTTAGAATTGATATGAAACAACTCTCATTTATTTCTTTCATTGTAAATTAAACAAAGTTCGTTTATAATGGAAATTCCAACATTTAAACTCAGTATTACTGGACGAGATTGTGACAAAGATAATGAAGCAAAAGTAAAATGACTATTTTAATTGTGCAAAATCTAATTGATATTTGATTTGATTTCAGGGCACGTAATATCGCACACATCTATCATGCACTTACATATATAAATTATATTATATATATAAATTCTCCATCTGAAAATGCTTTACTAGATTTAGCAATATTATAAGCCAACACATAACTGGCTTTCGTAGCGCATCTTTGAGAGTGATTAGCTCTCTGAAATAATTGTTGTTGACTTGATAAATTTCCGCGGGCCGTACTTTCCCCATCACTGCATTAGCATATTGCTGTCCCTTTGCATTTTTTTTTGTTACTTATGTCCCTGTTCTGTAGTTGGTTTTATCCTGTTGAACAGTGTATTTAAATTAATAAATAAATATAACAATATACAATTTATTTCTATTCTATTTCTAACCAAGCCGCTACAATCTCATTATGACCGTGTTTCTAGTAGGTTCTGCCATTTATAGCACGAGCAAGTTGCAAAAACCGTTACAAAATAGAATTTTGATTTAGTTGATCCGCAAATGGCAGCGACATAGCTAAGACATACGGATCACTTGTGTGACGTAACCGCACATCTGCTCCGACCAGAGTATACATACCTGTTGCGTCCGCGAGAGTTGTTCTGCGTCGTGTCCCGCTCGGCGATCGTCGGGATAGTTCGCGCGCGATCGCAAAGCGCCACGCCGACCGCGATCCTCCGGTTATAAGCGCCGCAACGCAAGCTCGCGAATGTGTCGCGTGCGTTTGCTTTCCCGTACTTACGCGCGTATTCGTTTGTTTTGTTTACGTCGTCGGAGTTTTCTTCGATTCGTTTGGAGCGCGAGTGTACGCGATATTCGTTAAGATGCGTCGTTCGTTTTGGTGATTCCCGGATAGTTTCTTCGCTACGCGACCATGGAATTTAGGATTGTCGTGGGGCTGGTTTTGGTCGTCGGGGTAGTTTTTGCTCAACGAAGGGACGAGAGAGGTGAGCGCGGGTTCTTAAATAACGAATAAGTTCCGACGATATTCTTAGCGGCACACCACGATAATTTGTTTTCTGGTCTAGTTTTTCGATTGCCTGAAACGAGTGACGTCACTGACAGCTATGGAAATAGCACACTGAGTTTGTGATGTGTAAATTATACCCAGTATATATATTTTCAATGGGTATTTACCCGTTTTTGGTATTCATATCGGTTTTTCCATTAAAAAGTTAGTTGCAAATAAATAAAGGCGATCTTTTTTCAGGAAACTTTTTTTTAACATTTGGAATTTCTCGTATTACCGAAATCGTATCGGAATTAAAATCTGGTGCTATGGGGATGGACGGAATCACACTGGAGATGGTGAAGCTATGTATCCCAGAAAAATAATTTGTCATTTAGTGAACTGTTGCCTTGAAATCGGATATTTCCCAGCTTTGTGGAAAGAGATATTAATCATATCAATTGATTTTTCAAAGAAACTTCCACAAGCACTGTTGGCTTCTTCACAGCTTAACTGAGGAAGCCAACAGGATGATTGTCGAAACGTCAGCAAGTTCGATTCACCAAAAATCGACGCAGGAGGAATCCCGAAGTTTTGTAAAAAGTACACATCAATTGACTTTGATTGATTCCGTCCAAAATTCTGGTAAAAGTAGTATACGAACAGATAAATGAATATGTGGCTCTGAATGTCACGAGTCTATGGCGACAGCTTGGGCTCTACTGGATTTCACAAAAGCCTTCGATACTCTTAGTCATCAATTGTTGATTGCCAAATATCGGTATGTTGTATTTGATGAAAGAACGTTAAAAACCGTTAAAAAATCACCTCTCGTCATCTCTAGATATTTTATCGGGGGTGCCGCAGGGCTCATTATTGGGACCGTTATTATTTTCGATTTATGCACAGTGCCAAGCACAGTTTGCATCTTAGTCCTGAGTGCGACAATTATGAATATGCAGCGAACGTCATGAATAGGGATTTAGAAAGTATAGGGAGCTTTAAGAAGGGACATCAAAGTGTAATGTTTGTAATTTTTGCTTCCAAGAGAAAGAAAATCTACATCAACTCCAAATATCTATTCAAGTTGCAAAGTCTGTTAAAAATCTTGGTCTATATATTGATGGGATATCAGGTTTTTGGATCATGTCTCCAAACAGTGTTACATGAGTTTGGGATTACTGTATTCAAATAAAGATGTATTGCCTTATGATATGAAAGTACAGTTTACAGTCTAAATGTATAAAAAATTCAAATTCGGCAGAAAACAACTAAAAGTAGATTGTTTTCCAAATAGAACCTGATTTGATACAAAAAAATGCATAATATTTTAGCGCACCACTGGTAACGCCCGGTTTCATTTTTGGTGATATTTTACAAAGCATGAAGTATGTAAATGCACATTACACTTTTGTGTGGCTGTGGCAGATTCTACATCCCCTTCGGGCTTTATTAGCATGAACAATCATGATCTGGCAGGTGCAAGATGTCTTTGAGTAATTTTTTTATCAGTTTTTAAAAGTCGCAAAGCAAAGATTTAAAATCAAATTAATCACTTCGTCATCAAAAAACATAAAAATTATTTCAAGCGGAGTTTTTCCAGAAATCCTATTTTTTAGTTCCTCATATGATCTAAATTCATCGGATATAGGTGTGTGAGTGTACTCAATCTGACCTTTCTTCATTTGACAGTAGAAGCAAGCCTGCCTTTTGCAGAAAGCATACGTCTTCTTTTGAATTCCAGGGTTTCAGATTTAAAATACGAAACTTTTTTTCGTATCTCCTATAGGTTTCCAGATGGGTGGATTATCCCATTACAGTTTACACGAAGAAAAAATATTTGCCAGAAAGTTTGAGCATTACCCAAAATATTCAACTTGTTTAGTGGCAAATTTTCAACAGAAAGTTTAATTTGTCATTTGGGTATCCAAGAACAGACACATGTTCAGCAAGTGACGAACTCCAGGCAAAATTTTGAAAGAGATACTGTTCGCAAAAAGCAAAAAAAAACGACTGATTATCCAGCGATTGCTTCGCAAAGTGATAGTTGTTGATCCTATCGTATTTTATTCCATGTTTCATGTTTGTTTTAGCAAATAAAGAAAATAGCACCATAAAAACACCTTAAAAAATAGTTGCAACTCAAAAGCCTCAAAAAAAAAAATTACAAATTACCACAAATAAGAAAACGGACTTTTACTGGAGCAATTTAAAAAAAGACAAGGTGAAAAATAATAAGAAAATAGTTACACGATTAATAATAAGAAAATTCAGCCTAAAACTGTAATGGCTGACAATCTAACACTAAAAATTGTTTAATTTGTAATTTCCGCGTAAAGATATCACAGGAGGAACCTCAGGAAAAAAATCGTTGCACGAGAATTAGATTTAGAAGTAACTAATCCACTGTTTCGGCTCTGAAACAATAGTTTTAATTAAGGCAGCTCGTCAAACAGCTGCGTGCCGCTGTAAATTGCCCAATTAATGAGGTCGCTGGTACGGAATATTACATTTAAAACTTGTAAGAATAACGTCTACACACACACACACAAACACACAGCAAGAAGTACGGTGTTTTCGGGCATTTAATTGGAATTCACATTGGAAGTCAGGGGAATTAAAATATGGCGACGGTTTTTGCTGCAAAAAAAAAAACTGATTGCGATTGCGATTAATGCATTACAGAGTGGACAACTTTGAGTAGTTCGACCATCTTGGTAAGCGTATGAACGATGACAGGAACCGAAGGTTGTTAATGTTAAGTTCAAAGAGTACATTGTTTAATGATTTAACATTAATAATAATAATAATAATTAGAGGTAAAAACCATGTAAAAAAACCATGCTAGGTAATTTATCGGATTTTATTATTATTTTAGTTTATTACGTAACGACGTAAGTATTTCACTGTTTGAGCAATAATAAAAAGTGCTGACCAGTT